GAAGAGCGACTTTATAGATGTCAAAGAGACGCGGTGAGAATACGACCGTAGAATAGGCAACTTAGAAGCCTTCCTGAAGTGACTAAAGAAAAAATGGAGAACGGCGTGGCAATTGAAACAAACCAGCTCTGTAACGTACGGAGCAGCAACCAAACATGCAGTGATACTCACGCATACATCGTGTAGTGGGCAATCGGGAAAAAAACGGTTTATGTCACTTAAAATAAACGTTAAATTAAACGGTTCTTATCAGTAACTACCTTGGAATAAATGATACAGTTACCTTATCTTTTAGATTTTTAATTTTTTTAGCAGTTGTTACTGCTAACTACAGATACCATTGTATAGTTAAACATACTTAATCAATGCTCCTACTAACTATGACTGGTGACAACTATCAATTTGAGAAACTGTTAAAATATAAGATATTATATTATTATTTCTACATTAAAACCTAGGTATATATTTTAAAATAGCCATCTCTAGTAAGGTAATTTTGTCGTTTATTTCAGGTAGGCAAGTACTGATAAGAACCGTTAATGAGTTCATGATAAAATTTATTAATTTATTAATGATATAAACAGGTTTTTTTTTTAATGTCTGGTTGGTGGCCAGTTGGTTGTTCAGTTATTAAAGATGATTGATGATTGAACAGAAAAAGAACATTCACAGGGGAAAGTGATGAGAATAAGCAAAAACTCGAAAACTTTACCTCAGAGTCAAACAAATAGGATCAGAAAAAAACCGGCATAAAATAAACAGAGTTAATAGAAAATTATGGAAGTTAGCACCAGTCTATTTATTTGAGCCGTTACGAATAGTAGCAAGCGATGCGCTGTCATGATTTTATCAATGGATGAGATTAATAGATTTTTAAGAATTTTAGTATCAAATTTTGTCGAAAATTGTAAATATTTTAAGATATTTCAAAACATGTAGAACCGAACTCAATTCACTACTCAAAATCGTTTTTCCTTAACAATGATTTATTGGTACGTACAGTAATTAAATTTCCCTCTGTATCCTACTTTCCCAATCCCAACTTCTCACCTACAATAGAGACCCACACATCGTGCGAAGTATGTTTGTCTTTTCCAATATAAATATATATATTTTTTTAAACTTAAACGTAGTTGATATAAAAACAAAATATATTCGATATTTTGTACATTATGATATTATATTCACAGCCCTAGTAGTACTCGTGTATTAAATTACCTGAATATAAATTTCCCTGTGTCACAAAACGGATCCCTATTAATTCAAATGAATTTAGAACTGAAAAATTCAAACGGAGATCAAACTGAAACATCTCATACGCAAAACGAGCCGCGTTTACAACGCACTAAAGCACAGAGTCGGAAAATTTTCAGATTTCGACAAAGTCGTGGTCGCATGGAGGTAATCAATTATGTTTTTACTAATTATAACATTTTTTAGTTTTACATGTAACCAAATGTTTCTATTTGACATCTTACCTATATTTCCGTAATATTGATTCTGTAATAGTATGATTACTTATGTTATTTATATTTCATAATTTATTACTTATATTTGCTTGTATATGAGCACAAACTTAGTACATTTGCATTTATTCCTACTAAAATTTGAACACAAGTACAATCTATAACAAGTAGTTATACTTGAAAATTATTAGAATTTATACTATACCTAGATATCTATATATTTTAATTTTAACTTTTATTTGGGTGTATTCAATTTGCATGTGTTTGTTTTTAATATATTACCTTACCTAATCTATTTTGAGTATTTTGTCATTATTAAAAAAGATTTTTAAAGTCGTACTGATTTAAAAATCAATTGTTTTATCAAACAATGTATTTTTATTATATTAAAAAAAAAACAAAATAAAACACACAGACAATAATGTCATGAAAAACAAAACCTGAATTGTAAATTGACAAAAAAAATAACAATTTTAAATTTTAAACCATCAACACTTTTTATTCGAAAATTAATTATAATATTCGATTGTCAATGACAATTTTGTATGACGCAATCGCGAGTTAATTAAAACCGAAAGTACATATTATCGTAGTATATTGTCTGAATTTTAAAAACTCAATAACGGATTAAACTTGAAAAATCTCATCTTTTAGATTTATACGAATAGATTTTTTTTTTCTAGATCCATAGATCGTTGTTGCATCACACACTTCCTTCAATCTCTTCAATTCTTCTCTTCCTTTAATTTCCTATTCAATATTACCTTCTTATAGTTTATCACTTCTAGTATTAATAAATTATTTGAGACTTAATCGTACCATTTCTGCTTAGGTTTATCTAATGGCATCTTTCTTTGTGGTTTTGATTCAAGACTTCTTTTGAAAACATGTGAAATTCCTATTAGACCTTATTATATTATCTAGCCAATTTAGTCTTTTGTCTGGAATTAATACAGTTATATTTTGTTTTCACAAGGTGTTGTATAATTTTTCATTTGATCTCATATTTTTGAGTAAATTATTTATTTTTAGTCCATATAATTTCTTTAAAAACTTTATTTCTATTATTGCCAATTTTATTTTGTCCTCTAAAGTTATTGACCATATTTCCCACACATATTAAGTTCTGGTATTACTTTTACAGTATATTCTTTTATTTTTTTAAGACCAACTTTAAGTGCAGGCACCTAGATAGCACATGTTAACACAATATGTTGTCTGCTAAAATATATGTCATAACTTTTCTTAATTGTTTTTCAGCTATTTAGTTCTGTACCTAAAATACCTAGATATATAAAATAATGTACTTTTTTCTAATTTATACTCTCTGGCGTGTGTATATGGCATCTAATTTATCTGTAGTTGCTCTTTTGTTATACACGTGAACTTAGTTTTGTTTCCATTTATTTCAAACTCTATTATCTTGTAGTACTTGTAGTACTACTCCAAGTACTACAAGATCATTAGTATAGTTTAAGATTGACACTAATTTTCCGATATCAATTCATTTATATTTACTATATGAGCTACAAGCTACCATTTCCAATGCAATTTTAAAGATTCTAAGAAAAAGTGTACCAACTTGCTGTAGTTTTAATACTCCATAGTGTGTTTATACTAACCTTACTATGCATATTACTGCTTTTATATTTATTTTAATCATTGCTTTTAACATGGGTGGTACATAAAACAATTCTAGGTGATTCCATAAGACTTATCTTTAAACCTAGTGGTACGCTTGTCTAACATCTACGAAGAGTATATGTAATTTCCTACTACATGTATAATATTTCTCCATCAGTTACTTAAACGTGAATAATAAACCTTTTCACTAATAAATCACTTAATTAGTCTCCCATGATATCTACTACATATAGTCTTAAGTGATTAAGAATAATATTAGAAAGAATTTTATACATCGTACATAGGATACATATAATACATATAAGGATACATAGGATTACATATAAGGATATTCCCATATAATTTCTGTATCTTATTTTTGTTTATTAACAGAGCAGATAATTTATATGTTTCAATTCTTTGACATTTGTTTCTCCCTTATACTTCTTATATTAAATCCATATTTTTATTTATTTATTTTTTTCGATTCTCTTTTTTTAGTTTATCTCCTCCACTTTCTGATACTATTATTATCGTTAACTTCAGCCATATTATCTTTGAGCATTTTGATTGGCCATTTCGATTTTCTCTAAATTTTGTTGTTTCAATTCTGGTTCTAATGATATATACTCATTAAATTCCTATTTTAAATTTCTTTGCTATTTTTTTTTTCCTTGGTTATCATTGTTCCATTTTTATTTTTCATGATACACTTTTTACTTGTAGGTGTCTACATTGTTGTCTATACGCTTTTATTTTTAATGTAAGAATTTTTATTCGTGCTCCTCTTCTATTTTCTTAATTTTTTCTACTTCCTACATTATATTTTCTTTTCGGATCGTTCTTTTAACTTCTCTGGTTTTGTTAGACTACCTGATTTATCTTCTCTTTGTATAGATTTATAATCATGAATAAACAAATTACTACAGTATGATATGTGTTCGGATCACTATTATTCTATTATAATGTTATCAAACTTTTAAACAAACATTTTCTGTAAAACAAGTAAATATATATATAAATAGAGAGAGAGAGAAAAAGAGAGAGATGGGGTATTTAGAAACAATTTCAAAATTGTTACATGCTTCCTTTCATGTAGTATTCACATAGTATTTGAATTAAAATCTTAATAAATAAATGATATGCTTAGGTCATTCCCCAAGGAATTAAGGCAGAACCGCCACAGCAAACCATTGAGGACGTTGATAAAGCGCAGGTTACGGTAAATAGCAGCTGTATTTGCGAGTGTACAAGTACAAAACTGATGGATGACGGTAAAATGATGTTGCCCAAGCCGGAATTGATATGGGAAGAAGATAGCCACAGTGCCCCATCGAGAACTTCGAGTACGTCGGGTTACAGGGAAAACTGTAGTCTGTTGATGATGCCGATGGGTAGCTCAGACGAAAATTCGTCTCCGATTCACCACCATTGTTTGACCAATAGTAGTTCGACGATAATACCAATGATGGAGGGCCTCGAGTCACCAGTGATGTCGAGAGAGAGAGAGAACAACGACTTCTGCAATCGACACGGTACTCTCGTTACTCATCGTAGCATCGAACACGAAGACACATTACTCTAAACAATGCTGATAACCGTTTGCCATGTAATTTTATCAGGCTCCTGCCTATAAACTAATAGTCACGTGGATATCACGTCTGAGTAATATTAGACTATAATACATTTGAACTTATTATAAATACGTGTTACAAAATCCTGGTGATATAGGTAGGTATGGAATTATTTGATTAGTCTTTAAAAGACATAGTAAAAAAAGTTTTCATTTGAGCACCGTTTTATTATTATTCTAGTATTGGTATTTTTTTTTGTTTTTATTAATAAACTAATTTATGATTATTTTAAACTTTTAAAATACATTTTATATGCTTATCAGAGGTTATATAGGGACATTTTTCTTTTTTTATCTTATACACAGATAACATTTCTCTATTTTACTCCGCACTTCCTTAGTTGTACTAAGTAAATATAAATATAATAGCTCTAAGAAATTCGTTTATAATTCCATCTAATCCAACAATTTTAAAATACTAATATGAACATTTTTATGCGTTTACGTTTTCTCTTCGAATTCACCTAACATTTAGTTCTATATTAGCATGCACTTATACAAATCTGCTATTTTTCCACTTTTACCAATGTATTGAAAAGGATGCTGCATCGTCACCTACTGTCTACGTCTTACAAACGCGAGACATAAAAAAATTCGTTTAGACATATTTTGAGCTGTTAGTTTTAATATTAAAGCAAATTAACTCAATATCAAAATTCAAGGTTGAAAGATTATATATACCTCAGTTTTGAGTTTTTTTGGATATTTTTATTTTAAAGCATCATATGAGTATGTAAAATATCGCAGTTTAAAAATGTTTAAATCTAGCTTAAAAATTTAAATATCAAAACATCATTGAACATATAATCTTCTTACCTTTAAGTTAGGTAATAAGTCAATTTTCTTAATATTAATACTTACAGTACAAAATCTGTCCTACTAAACGCATATTTACTATGTAGCGCGTTTATAAGACTGAGACAGTAAATACGGGTGAGACGTCCTCTTAATACATTAATCAAATGACAAATCGAAAATGGGGAATTTCATCTGGTTCCATCTCAGTTACAATTTATTTTTGTACATCGGAGTCTTATTACTATTTTCCAGGATAAATGTTAGATAAATTTGTTCTGCAAATATATACTTACTTCATTCATGTGAGTATCTATAATGTATTGGAATTTATATTTATGGTTTTAACTCTAGTACTAAGATTATTTATGGTTTGGATTTATACATTTTTTTTAAAAAGCACCCGACAAACTGGTTATTATTATTTATATTTATTCTTTTTTATCTATGAATAATAATGGTTCTAGGATAAAAGTAAAAACTCGTGAAGTGTGAACATTTCATAATATACATGGTGATTCACTAAGCGTGCTCATCCTATTTATTTGGTTAAATTTTACATGTATTCAAATACTGTTTTTGGAATTATTAAGTGCAGTTAAAACCTATATTTGTTTAAAAATATATATAAATGTGACTAGCTTAATTATAAAGAATTTCCATAAATGAAAATAAAATGCTTAATAACAAATAAACAAACATAAAAAGTAAAAATACATTGAACAATATAAATATGCAATAACTAAAAAAATATAAGTAATGAACATAATATCTAAAATAAAAAAGACGTGTCCTCATAGGCCAATTTCATTAGCTTAAAAAGAGGACCGTTTGATTAATTTTATCAGTTTGAAGAGTGGAGTATCATTTGTGTGGTAGCACGGCGCGTGGCGTTTTATTAGTGCTCCACTATTCTATCCCTACTTAAACTTAAAATATATTTAATTAATATTCCGTCTATTTATGGAATTTTTAATGTAGGTTCTCATTTGAAAAACTAAAGTTGGTATCGCCACAGTAAACTCTTTAAATGTGAAAAATCTATAAGTATTAAATAATATAGGTATTACACTTAAGAATTAAAAAAATCTGAATTTGTATACATGCAAAATTTAACTAAAAAATAGGGTGAACATGCTTAGTGAATCATCCTGTATTTCAAGTATAAGTTGACTTTTATACGTAATTTATTTGTAATAAAACGTACTAGCATTATGATTTCCTTTAAATTCGACATTTTTGGATACCGCATGTCCACATCACAGATAATATTAGGTTATTTGTTATTATTTTAAGAAATGTTAATGAACTATTTTGCATTTTAGATTGGTTATCTTGATTTCCATAGATTAATTATAATACATCACAATAGCAATATTATATTATAAGTTCTATTGTCACTATAAAGGTACCAAATAAATATAGTTCCCTACCTATCTATTTACTTTTTTTTTGTGAAAATCAGTTAAAAAAATTTATTTTATGTATTTATTTAAATTTTACAATTTCCTGCAGAGTATGTGGCGTTGAATTATTTTGTAAAAAAAATTGTACGTAACCTAAAATGTTAATTAAATTACTATATATAGTTATATCTTTGAATTTATAAGATGTTATAAAGAAATGATTGTAAGATAGAGTTAATTTTATATTCAAAATTTATTTTTTTTTAAATTATTTATTTTTAGGTATGTGTGTATTTATTTTTTAATACTGAATGAATAGTACAAATATTGGAACTTAATTTACTTAAATAACTGTACTATTTGTGTGATAGGTTAAACTAAAGCAAACCGATTTAAATGATGTATATTATTATTTTATATTCTTTACTCAGTATTTATACATATATACTATACAGGCTTGAATTAAAGAGGACCAGAGAGGGCCATATTCCTGAGGGCCACGAGAAATGTTCTCCATAAAGACTTTATTATGAGTTTAATCAAATATTTGAGAACCTTTTTTTTTTTTTATTGCTTATTTTTACTAATATGAGCCCCCTTGGTCCTTACAACCTTTAATCCAGGTCTGATACTATAAACACTACCTATTTGTTCTCATGTGATACACCTATTGATTTTTGTTTATTATTGTATTATAGTACGAGTATATAATAATATTATGGTATTACGAACATTGAAAAATAATAATATTAAAAACTTTACTCGGACTGTACGCGAAATTAACAAATTATTATATTAAGTATGTTATATCAGATAGTATTTTTCAATTTTTGATGATGATCAAATTATTATATTGTTATAATAATATAATAATATATACCTACTTATTAGTTAGTGATGTATAAAATAAAATGTATACAACATAAATATATTTATATTATTATTGCAAAGATAACATATAAAGTATTGCGTTTTATTTTCTAAAGAGTTAGAATAATTATATGATTCTACATTTCAGTAATAGTCGTAGACATCCTCAAGGTCTAAAGAACCCGCGTTTTTTTGGCGAGTTTGTTTATAATTGAGTTCATTCGTTATTGTCGTCGTCTCGTTTGATTGTATGATATACTATGTACCGTAGAAGACAGGAGTGTATTTTTAGTTACATAGATAACTAAACTACGAATAGTATACAATATTAAAAGTTTCCTATACTATTTTAAATGTATAATTAGAAGTATTGAGTCCACTCAACAAAAAAATATTTGGAAGAAGCAGTATAGAGGAAGACTGAAAAGAGATGGTTGAATGACATAGAGAATGATATGAGGACAGCCGGTGTACGCGAAGTAGGAGATCAAATCAAGACTTAATGGTGAATTTAGATTTTTGTCATAGGGGGGATATAATTTTATCCAGTAGTATAAAAAACTTGAGGGGGGCTCTGCCTCCTTAACCCCCAAAGTTTCCATAGAATATAATAAATAATTAACATTATAAAATGTTTTAATAAAACAAACTCAATACCTATTACAAATAAAATGTTACAATACAAAATCTAATTTTCTTGATTTTTACCGTTGTTAAACCACTCTTATCACTCCAGAAGAACTCGTAATTACAGGTCTGTCTCTTTGTAATCACCGCGGTGTGGTCACTGACCAGAGATACCAACTCGAATATACAAACAATATTTTAATTCTTGCAGTTATTATTTTATAGTAAAATAATTACATATTATGCAAAATACTAGTGTACTATGTACTATGTGATCATGTACTATGGATATAGCTGTTGACTAAATATTTGAAGCAAACATAACTAAGGGTAGTTCGAACAAATGCGCATGCGCAAAATGTATATCACACGCAATTGGTCGAATTCACGTAATTACGTGCGATGTATCTACCATCACTGCCAGGTAATATTATAATGGTTATACGATAAATATGCGATGAGTACTGATACACATGCGCAATAGACATCAGTCCCCTTGGCATTCGTTAATAATGATGTCCTTAACCCGTAATACGCGTTTATCATGCAGTATCTCTATCTATAGTATATAATCTAAATTTGTACGAAACCATATACGTGTAGTTATTATTTAAATAAAAATGTAATGTTAAATTATTTAAAATGAGCGGTCGTGAGATATTACTAACAGATACTAAAAGTCAAGAAATAGATGGTATTGATTTATTTCCAGTTATTCTTTACTGTCTGAAAAAAAAGAAAATATTGGACACATTCGCGCGTGCGTTTAGAATCTAAGACTTGTGGACCTAGGACTCCCATTCTTCCAACAAATAATATTAATTTATTAAATCTAATTGATGGTTAAATTTAACAGTTTATTTGAAAAATCGAGGTTTTATATAATAAGTTTTCAAACTGATAGAAAAAATAATTGAAGCCTAGTTCATCGATCTCTAGTTTATCTGAAACCTCTTCCAGTATTAAATTTTGTCAAGCAGCAAAACCAGTTCCTATCATCTCGGCAGTTTTATCAACGAATTGAATAATCACATCAGACCGTTCTAAATGTATTATTGATTCAGGTGTTAACACCTCTACTGGATTATCTGCTGCTCCAACACAAACATTTTCTAACTAGTTAATTTCTAACTAGTTAATTTCTAGGTTAAAACCTAATGCTACTGCAGATCTGCTTAATTCAGAATTTGTTCTTCGAATTTGATGATATTGTCAGCGTATTTTTAAACTCAGAATCAGATAATGGTCGAAAGATTAAGCACGATAATTTTACAAGTATATTATTTATTTCAGTTGAAAACTATTCAAACACTTTTAATTGAAGTACAAGTCTACTGGCGTGAAAGTTCTCGCAGATGATAGTGGTAAGACTCATCTGAAAAGGTGTTCTCGGAGGCCAGTATATATACTATGGACTCCCTAGCTAGATATGCTAAATCTTCGCTTTTCGACAATAATATGTTGTTGCGTAGTCAGATGATAACTTTGTACGTTGTAGAGTAATTATATATTTATTTTATTTATTTATTTATTAAGTTTAACGGGACAAGCCCTTTACATAAGATATAATACAATAATCTAGAACAACCATACATATACAAGATAATTAATTAATATAGTTTGAAAGGTGAATTATCACAAAAATTTACACATATATAAAATAAATTTCAATTAGATAGTAGTTATATAGCTTTTGTTTGAAAAGATTCACGCGACATAAAAAAGAAGTCGACTTCATTACAAATTGAATTATATAATAATAGTGCTCTAGGAAAAAACGAATCTGTACATATTTTTTTTCTATAAAAAGGTACAAAAGACAAACAAGAATTTCTAATCGAATAATTATGAGTACAAGTACCAATTTTACTTAATAAATCAGGACAATCAATATAATTATTAAGAAGATCATAAATAAATAGGACATCAGATAACTTACGCCTGACCTCACAAGGCTGAATATAGATAAAATCCGCTATTAATGAAAATGATTCTTTGGAAATGGGTAAGTTTAAACGAAACGCAATAGACTTAAGAAATTTATACTGAACATTCTCAACCAATTTATCGGTACCATATGGAGCCCAGATTATTGAACCGAATTCTGTAAGTGACCTAACAAGAGAACAATAGAGCATCTTTAATGTAAATACATTTTTAAATTCCGTAGTATTTCGTAAAATAAAACCCAGAATTTTAAAACATTTATTTATAACCATATTTGTATAAATAGAGAAAGATAAATTATTATTAAAGAGAACACCCAAATCTCTAACCGATTCAACTCTGTTAATATTAAAATTATTAATTTGATAGTTGAAAATTATAGGATATTTTTATTTAGTGAAAGAGATAACATTGCATTTATCAATATTAATTGGTAAATTATTTTGTTCACACCAAAAACTAAACTTAATTAAATTTGCTTGAAGATTAAATGCATCATCTTGGTTTTTAATAGTAGAATAAAATTTAGTGTCATTGGCAAACATTAACACATTGACTGAAGAATCAAGAACAGATGGTAAATCGTTTATGAACAAATTAAATAGTAATGGCCCTAAGTGCGAGCCCTGGGGTACTCAGGAACTTACAAAAATAATCTTAAATAATAAATAAGACAACTTAACTAACTTTATATTTTTTTTGTAATTAAAGACTCAAACAGTTTGGGTATTAAAGATAATTTAGAAATTGGTCTATAATTCATAACATTACATTTATCACCACTTTTAAAAATAGGGACCACAAATAATTTTTTCCAAACAGTTGGAAAAGAGCCAGATGACAAGGATAAGTTAAAAAGATTATGTAATGGTTCAGTAAGAACATTTTTGTATTCGATTAAAATACTTCGTGGTACTTCTTGAATATTACTCCATCTCTGGGATTCTTATACGGCAACAGACTCTTCTCATATTGAGCGGGTCCTGAGGCGTTTTTGTTCTTCGAAGTCGTTTATTTTACAAATACCTCATCCATTGCATAATTATAGGCCAGTGATGAAACTTGAACTTTGTCTCTAGCAGATAGAAGAGTTCAAGCTAATCTGGTGTTTTTTCACAAACTTATTGATGGACATATGGATGCTCCCTCTCTTCTTTCTCTAATAAATTTTAAAGTTCCTTCTCACTCAATTAGGTCTTATTCTTTCTTTGTTGTTCCATTCCACTACCCAACTATGGTAAAAATAATCCCATTCACCGTATGATGCGCATGAGTAACGAACACCTAAGATTTTCTTAAAATGTTATGATTAGTATTAAGTATTGCAATTCGTAATTATCATTTTTTTTTTTTTTTTTTTATATATAACCATTTGTTATTTAAATCCATTTTATTGTTTACTTACTTTAATGATTATGCTATATTGTTCAAATATATTTTATGACTATAAATTGTATTGTTATTGTATTATTAATAAATAATAATAAAAAAAAAAAAATAAAGCCATTTGTTGATACCTAAAATATTTTTCATAATAATTGGGAAAAATCAAAAAATACGAAAAACACGATTTTTTCAAATTACGACACAAGAATTTCATTATAATACATTTTTAAGACCCATACTTTTTACCATATTATTCCAATAGAAAAACGACATGAGACTACTTTAATGTTATTGATCTAATTAGTGAGTAAGTAATTCGTTTATTGATTTTCTTTGTAATTTTTTTTTTTTTTAATAATTCAATACAACTGAGAAATACGTAGAAAAAACGGGAAAATTTACGAAAATAATTTGTATTTATTATAAATAATCATTGTATTTTTAATGTAATTCTGTTAAAAATATTCGTAAAGACTTGACATTTTGATAAAAACTTATTTTTATATTTATTTTTTGGACGTAGTAAAACGTTAAAAATGTTAGAGCCATTTTTGAGCTATATTGAGAAGAAAATGTATAAACCATTTTAGGTATGTTAGCGAGGAATGTGTTACTTTATTGATATTCGATGAAAGACTCGATAATATTATTCGTACAAATATATCGATGAAAATTTTGCAAGTAGAGCCTGAAAAAAGTACTAAAAAAAGTATATTGTCAAGTTTGAATAGGTACACAATTTTTTCAAGAATTATTTAACGTTAGAGCTATTAAGTGCCAAAAAAAACTTATAAATAATTTCAATATTTCTGAATATTTTTTAAAAATTCAACCCGAAAAGTGGAATGAACTACAGGAATACAAATAACGAAAAATTATAGTGGAATCGACAAAGGTGGTCAATGATACGGCAAAACGAAGAGTCAACCTATGGAGAATTATAACGACAAGTTTACGAAAAGTGAAGAGCAGAAGCAGTTTGTTTTACAAGTAAAAAACTATTATTTCACTTTATTAATATTTAATTAATAACTATTAAATATTTTTAAACTGTGTAGGTAGTTTATTATACATTATTACATTAAATTATTAAACAATTAATTGAAAATATGTTTTGTCATTTATTTGTATTTTAATTAATCAACCAATATTCTTCCTATGATTATAATTCCGTAAACTCATCTACAAAATCGCACTGAAAATATAATATTAAATACATTTTATACAAAATATCGTAGTATAACAAAATAGTATAATCAATTAACCAATGGAGATGCGGAAGCTAACAAAAAATAACAATAATGGTGAATAAAACATAATTTAGCCGACTATAAAATTATCTGAAATCCAAAAATTCGTTGAGCTATTTTTAGATATTTGAAATTTTCTAGTTTTTTGTTTTGTTTTTATTTGGTAGGAGTAAGTATTATATAAATAAAATTGTGTGATCAAATAGAAATGATTATAAATTTAATAGGTTGATTAAAAGACTTCATTAATAATAATTTTAAAAATGATCTGATACTGGGAACGGGTGCAGCCATTGTCATACATAGGTAGTTGAGAAGCTGGGATACATAAAGCTATTTAATTATTAACCTAAAACCAACAATCAACTATTGTCAACAGAAAATAATTCGGTGTGATGTTATGTTATACATGTTTTGAAAGGCCGTTATAATTATGATTTTCATCAAAATTTGATTATAAAACTCATGTAAAAAAAATAAATTATATTACACTTAATTTTTTTTTTCTGACAATTAAATACAACTTAAAATGAACCTCCTGTCTAATTTTTAATTATTTCTGTTTAGTCTAAACATTTTTTCTACAGAGTAACTACCAAATTAAAATTACTTTAAAACATGTGAACTTTATATGTCTATAAAATTAGTTTAAATGTTTTAAACATTTCACCACGTCTAAAAAAAGCAAATTTAAGTTTTTTGTTAAAATTTCAAAATGTCAATTCTACGAAAATTGTTTATTGAATTTATATTAAGATAACAAAATTTAAAATAATAAAATAATTACTTTCATATATTTTTCTATTCTTTCTACGTATTTTTCTGTTATGCTCAATTATTAAAAAAAACTACTAATAATCTAGTAATAATACTACTAGATTATAAATTCAACCAAAAAAGTTGCTTGTTGTTTTTCTATTGTAGCAATAATTTTGGTAGAGAACATACAAACTATAATTTTTTAGTTTTTTCGAACTGTTATGAATACTGCTTTAGAAATCAAAAAATTACCATCTCAATGTATAAACAAGATTACCTTTCAGAAAAGGTACTATACTCTATATATTAGAGCAAGATTCCTGGTAGAAAAGTTGTTCATAAACAGGAAAAAAAATACACATAGTAAAACCAATAGATCCCCGCTACGCTCGGAATCTAAAATAACAGATTGTATTAAAATGTTTTATATGAGCGTTTTAAATCGTAAAAATCATGGCTTTTGAAAACATATTTAACCGAACTTCGCTCCAAATGGTTTGGCGTAAGTAATGCTATAATTGTTTACAAATATAAATTAAATAATATTTTATATATCATATCTTTCCAACTTCTCACCTACTAAGTGGTACATAGTGTGCCACACACTTGTCCCCAATATCAGTTTTTTTTATTTTTATTGTTTTCAATTACGAACTTTCGTTAGTATGGAAATTCTTCACGAATTTAAACTGTTTGATTATGGTAGTATTCCAAAGAGTTTTAATTTAATTTAATAAATGGTAATAATATAATTTCGTTGGCAACTAAATAGTTTATTTTGTTGTATTTTAGGTTATCCAGCTTTAACTGGGATACATTTTGCAATTATAAATTGAATCGTATTTGTATTGCTTTTGTCGAGGGCGCATCACAGCAAAAAATCTAAAAAATTCCGTAGTGAAAATTGATTGAATATATTTAAATTAAATCTCTGAGTATAAAAATGACGAAAGACGTAATTCCAAAAGCAGAAAACACCGATGAAATCGTCGAAGAAAATTTACTGAAACACACGTTTATTGCTAAACGACAAGTTTTACGTAGAAATCAAGTACCCATGAAATTCCGGAACAACTTGACGTAAAAATTAATTTTTTCGTACAATATGTACCTACGTACTCATTAAACATTTAAAAAAAAAACTGTGAACGCATTCATCTAAAGAAAAACCTTAATTATAAAACCATAATCATAAAAACCTTAATTATTTATATTTGTTCTCGTAGATCAGCAATAAAACAAACAGAAAAGGAACGTTCAGAACTTGTCAAGAACTTGAATGTTACACTGCAACCATCCAAATTGAAGGAGGAAGATCTTGATCAAAAAGAAATACTCGAACTATACAATCAAGAGAGGCTGGCCTATGCAAAACTAAAACAATTAAGAAAATATTATATAGATCTAAATCAAGAAGTTGGTAGATGGCAAAAAAAAGAAAGTAAAAAACAAAATCAAGTTAACCATTTTGAAATGAGAATGGATAAAGAGCAGAAAACGTATGGTGATATGGAAAAAGCATTATACAGAGTGAGTGAAACAAAATCAATGATATGAAATGATACCTAACACTTTTACTGTCTAATTTTTTCATAGAAAATAAATACATATAACGACGGAGTGAAAAAACAAAAAGAGCTCAGAGAGTTGTATGAAGGTCTGCGCAGAGAAACTTCACAAAAACGCGACATATATGATTCGCTAATTTTTCAATTGAACAAAGAGGCAAAAATTACAGTCAATGTCGCCGAAGAAGCTATAAAATCGTGTCAAGAAAGGTAAGTGTAAAAGTAATAATATGTTACATAAATTCGAAATTGAACATATCACGAAAAATATAACAATTTGTATTAAATATAAAAACATCGAATAAAAATGAACTGCGTATGTTGTAATTTTATGTAATGTTCGAAGTTTGAATTTTATATGTAATATACACGTTACTACAGTGTTCGAATAGGAGAGAAGCGTGGAGTAACGGGAGCTTCACTGCTATTTTTATTTCACTTTAATACCCTCTTAATAATTATTTATAATAATATTGAGGGACGGCCAGTACACTAAACTTTTTGCAAATAATATTTCCAAAAAATATGACGTGTTAATCGTGTTATCAATTCAAATATATTCAATATTATAAATGTAAGGTAAATATTTTATTTAAAATTTGAATTCTAAAAAGGATTGGTAATATTAATGTTCAGGCCTCAAAGGAAGGTTAATTGAAAAGGTATAATATTATAGAGGGAAATTTAATGTACATCTGTAAGCAAAGATTAATCGTTGCTAACGAAAACCAACTCTGAACTCGGTCAAAGGTATTATTTTTCAAAAATATATTTGTCATATTACGACGGCTTGGATCTCTAGGCGCACCGAAAATGCATTTGTTTTTTCCCTGTTACCTACTTAACGTGGATTTGCAACGTGGATCAGGGTCTTACGACAATTGAGCGCAGATAATTGAGCGCACGACAATTAAGCGAAGACTATTGAGCGAACGACAATTGAGCGCTGCGAAAATTAAGCGCTGAGACAATTGAGCCCAATATATATAAGCGCTAAAAAGGTTAGGTGATAATTTAAAAAATAAAAAATAAGTCATAGCATGGTTAATAATACATTATCGGTCAAATCAGTAAAAATAAAATATATAATAAAAATGTTATAAAAAATGTTATTGTCAAGTTAAAATATTTTGAGCAATGCCTTTCAAAAACAAAGTCTAAAACTGCTTGAGTACTAAGTTCAGTATGTTTTGCCGTTGTTTTTAAAAATTGCACTGCTTTTCTCGCTTCAATTTTTGAAATATCGGGTCTATGGTTGTGCTCTTTTTCACTTTCATTAATAATTTGACCATCCGTCAAATTAATACGACCACGAAATTTTTTCGCATTGCATTCGATACATCGCCAACTACTGTTTTTGTCAAATCTGTATAAATATCCGTTGTAACACAGAAGGTCTCGACCTTTTTCATTTTTAATAAATTCCATTTAAAAAAATTAAAATGNATAAAACGAATAAAACGTATAAAACGTATAAAACGAAAAGAGAAATGAAAATAATGAAAATAATAGTGAAGTTATCCAGCGATAAGAACCTATAGATCTACTGCTGCGTTATCGTCATTGGAATTTTATTCTAATAAAAACTATATAATATATAATAACTATATAATAGCATCGTATCGATACGATACGAATGATGCGGCAACGAATTCATTTCTAATTTCGTCATTTCGTGTTCTACTCAGTTTAGTATTATAGCGCTCAATTGTCTCAGCGCTAAATTGTCGCAGCGCCCAATTTTCGCCACGCTCAATTGTCACGCGCTCGATTGTCGGGACACCGTGGATCTGGGTTGATAACAGGAACGTACCATCACTAAACTACAAAAGACATACATAAAATTGAAAATATAGGCTTATTTAACATAAATCACATAATACGAGGTTTGACTATTAAATAAAGAGACTGCGCGCGCAGAGAGCGTCCCAAAAAAGTTAGGGAAAAATCGAATACAGCGCTAGTTAGCTGGAAGTGTCTATTATGCCAGTACAAAATTGGGTTTTTGTTGGTGCATTAGTATTTTTTCTGTAGCGTTTAGAAACGAATATGTTTTTTCTCTTGCCGAAAACGATGTGTGACGAAAAACATGAGCAACAGATAAACGTAAAATTTTCTCGTTAAACTAAAAAAAACTCCAACTGAGTGCTATAAGTTATTAAAAGAGGCCTATAGTGAGAATTTCCTATCTCGGGCGCGTATTTTTGAGTGGCATAAATTATTTTCTGAAGGCCGAGAGTGCACCGGAATCCAATTCAGTCGTAATCCAAATTCAAAACCGTTTTCTTCGATATCAACGGCATCGTGATGACTGAATGGGTTCCAGAGGGTCAAACTGTGAACCAACATTACTATTTGACAGTTTTGGCAACATTGCGCGAATGAGTTCGTAAGAAACGGTCGATATTGTGGAAAAACAAGTCGTGGATCTTGCACCAGGATAAAGCGTGAAGCGTTATTTGGCCGCTTAAGGCATTCCAGTACTCGAACACGCGTCTTACTCACCCGACTTGGCACCCTGCGACTTTTACTTGTTTCCGAAGATAAAGTCTGCCTTAAAAGGAATCCGGTTTTAGTCGATGGAAGAGGTGAAACAAAAATCGGCGGAACTCCTGAATGGTCTTACGAAAACAGACTTCCAGCACTGCTTCGAGCAATGGAAGAAACGAATGAAACGGTGTGTGGCGAGGGGAGGAGAGTATATTGAAAGGGAACATTTGGTTGTGGAATAATTTTAAAAAAAAAAACCATTTTTCATAAATAGTCTCGTTATTTAATAGCCAGACCTGTATCAGAACTTCAAAAAGCTATAATTTCGAAACTAAGTCAGTCAACTTAATTTGGACCTTACCATTGCTATTAAATCGACAATTTACATAATATATATTTAAAACAAAAAACAAAGAAAATTAAAAAGTAAACCAGTAACTAGATTTATTCCACATAATTTTATCTAGATAAATGTTTAATTATCTTTATTCAACACTGTCCACGAGTTTGGTTAAATTCGATAATAAATTGCAAGGAAGACTTATTTTTTGTAAATCTTGTAGTCACTATTCTTTTAATCCTTTAATTCAAGTACTGGGCAGGGGAATTAGGTACCTACTAATGTACATTTGGATAATAATTGCAAGTCGTAAAAATTGTTTATTAACGTAACCATCGTGTTTATTAGAGAAAACACAATAACCGCACTAGAAATACTAAAAGAATCTAATGAGACTGAGAGAAGACAACGGGAAGAGAAAATGTTCATGACAAAATATAAATTACGAAACGATCTTGACCAAAATGAATGTTTAGAAATAAAACGTAGGTTATTTTTTAAATAATGTTATTAAATAGGAGTAAGTACAGTTGACTACAGAGTGTCCCAAGAATATACCCTTTGCACTAATATTTCCTGAGATAATAAAGATATTCAAATTCTCTTCTCTTTTTTTTTTATATTACTTACTCGCAGAGATGAGGACTACAAATATTTATATTTGAATCAAATGTTCTTGTTTTATTGAAAAAACTAAATTATCTCCGGTTACAATGAGTATATCTTCATGGGATACCCTACATAAATATTAAAAACTGTACATAGAGTGTATCGTGTTTAAAATGTATTATTGGAAAACAATAATCATTTTAAACCCGACAAGACAATATGTATAGGCTCTATTTTTTGGTACAAACTAAAAGTAAATATCTACGAATATTTTCTATTTTTTAGATGCTTTTCGTCATAATCGACATAAGAATAATATGAAAACCGAACAAGAGAACCTCAAAAAAGAAAATCGACGCCGAAATGCCCTTGCGTTCATAAAATACTTAATTCGTATTGAGGGAGATGTAAACTTAAAAACGATCACCGACAACATAGAAAAAATGAAATTAGACAAGAAGAGTTTGTTCCGTCTATTAATATTCTTTGAACAGCAAGTAAGTATATATGTGGTTAATTAAGTTGAAAAATGTGTGCAATATTATAAAATATTAAAATAGCATTACACCAAGTGGCGGCTTGGCTATAAATTACTTTGTTGGCTAAATAAACAAAATTACTCTTTCATACAGGTACAGTTAGAAAGACATGAAACTCACCTACCACACTAAAATTCCTCCTAGCTAAAAAATAAAATACCTACCTAAGGTTTAAGCTACAATTAAATATACTAGCCCCGTCAACCAAAACTTCATACCCAATGGGCCATTTTTAATCAAAATAGTTAAAATATAAAATATTTATTTCAGAAATGTCTACTTATTTAAGTAATTTGACGTGTTGTATATTGTACGGAATAATTATGGTCTATACGATTTTGTTTTAACCTTTGTGACAATCTTATATATTATGTTTTAACATTTATTTCTTCAAAATTAAATTATATAATATTATAATTTGGTAAATAATTTTTATTTTTGATCTTATTTACTTAAGTAAGTATTTACTCTAGCAAAGTGTTGTTGGAGACTGTGATAGGTCTGATGTATATATTATATACTACTCTCAAACTAAATAAACAAATAATTGAATTCTAATAACTAAAGGACGTCCTAGGATAATGAGGACAGATGCAGTCACTATTATAAATAATTAAATGTATACCTGTAAACAACAATAAGCAATTGCTTACATAAAAACGATTATGAGCGGAGTTCAGTTGATAGTGATGCTTTATCAACAATACATATGTAATTTATAAAAATAATTAAATAGTCTTTGTTTTCATTAATAATATTTGTTTAATGTTGTATCAATTTTCTCAATTTTCTTATTTTTTTCCCGATTTGTCCATGTTTTATCCTGGTTTTTGCTGGAAAACCCCTGATAAAATTGAAAAATTACCTCTTTAAAGTAGCTCCCTAGTGGAAATTCCTTTTAGAAACATTGCTATCAATATAACTTAGAGCAAAATTGTTGGTAGAAAAGTTGTGCACAGAAAAAAAGAAAGCTGTAATATATTTTAATTAATACCTACATTTCTTATATTTTCCCGTTTTTTATTGGTTTTTTTCAAATTTGATGAGAAAACTCCTGAGAAAATCGAAAGGTTACTTCCCTTAAGTAGTAAAGTACCTCCTTACAACGATTTTTTTTCAGAATAGGTACTACATTTAGAAATCCGAACTAGTCTTCTGGTAGAAAATTTGTTAACAGATTATAAAATCATAAGCTTCTTCGTTCCACTCAGAAACTAAAATTTTGGTTTGGTGATTTACTGAACACACTCTATATACGTTCATTGAAAATAATTAACTGAGGAACAACAGATTTAAATTTGTTTGACGGAATGGTGTATGTAAGTTAGATCGATTGTGTTAATTACGAAAAGTTAAAATGAAAGATCTAGAGGGCATCAGTAGAAACTTTGAGACGGTGACGTCCCAATAATTATAACATATTACAGCAAATATTTGTTTAACTATTTGTAATCTATGTAAAAATCTACTTTTTTAACCTATTTTTAATGTATAATATACATATATTGTATGTGTGTATGTATTCTCTTCATCGCGGTGTGTGTATGAATACGTATGAATTACGTTCAGAGTTTTTTTTCAGAATTAGCGATAACGACGGACAATGTACAAGAGCGCTGGCAGAAATTTTCACCGAGAGGGGCGGTGGAGCAAGATGTATATTATATAGCCCATTCCGGCTCTCCTTCTGTGAGCGCCCTTGACGACGCGGTCGTAAAACCAATGAGACGTTCGATTAATAGTGTTTATTATAATAGATAGCTTATAAATAAAAGTCCGGGGGATCACAGTAATAATGGTTTTTATATGGAGTCCGTAAAACTAGTCTCGGCCACCAGACAGAACGTTATTCTGTACTCGCTGCGTACATTTATGTAGTATGTCGTAAACCTTGTCTCGTTTTTTATTAAAAATTAAAAATATGAAATTAAAACATTGTACATTAGATGAGTTTTCTACGATTTTCATTAATTCACGTTTAATGAAAAATATAAATAAAAAAACTAAGTTAATTCAAGCTAACCTGATCAGATATACCATTGAATATATACTAACATTTCAAGTAAAAATGTATATAAATACCCAATAGTTACACAAAAGTTAAGTCTCCTCGTAAATTTTATTCACGCATCCGAAGCCGAGTCACACAGCTTCCATAGTAGATAATAACCTGCGTTGAATACACCTAAAACTTTAACCGTGAGTTATAGTGTTAGGATAGAAAGATCGTTGTAAGATTATTAGTTTAAATCTATTTTGGTGTTAAAATTTTTCATTTCCGTTAACCCGTTGAGGAGATTATTTTAAGTTTAGGTTGGGGGAAAGTGATGAAACCCTTTTAAAACACCACGTGCCGTGACGCTAAGTAATCATACATTATCTCCCGAATCAACTAGATTGCTATGTTCCTAAGAAAAATTAAACTTGCATTTTTTCGTTACACAACTATCATACGCACCATCTATGTTTTTAGCTACCAATTTTGCACCAATGGTAAGGTATCAACTATCAATGCGATTAGCTGGACCAAGTCGGCGATACGGTGATCGCCGAATAGACCCTCTCCTAAGGTTTCCATTTGAGTTTCAAAAATTGACTCTCAAAACCTCCTCCCTCCTCCCAAAGAAAAGAATTACAAATGTTTTACATGTTTTTAAATCAAAAAACTTTTGTATTATATATACATTTTCTCTATTTTAAATACTTATATGATAAAATGTCTGTAACATAACTTTTAAATCACCCTGCATATGCAGATATCACGTAACCTATTTTCATTTTAACTCATTATTTTATTGTTAATAAAAGTTTTCGGAATTGGAGAGGACCATGGGGCTTGATAAAGAGATGGTAGCTGACAAAACCCAATCAAATGTCAACAGTTACGAGCTGTACGAATGTCAGATAAAAAAGTATTTGGAGAAAATTCAAACGAACGAGCAGGTCATCAAAGAAAAAAAAACCTTCATCAACAGCTTGCAGAACCTGTACGACGAGGTGAACGAAAGGATTTATGGTATATTCCAAGCACTTAGGTGTGATCCATCGGCTGTGGAACAGTTCGGAGTCGTCGAGATGCCCAACGAGTATAACATTATTGACTATGCCAAGGAAATGGAAAAGAAATCAGTCGAGTTACTGTACAAAGTCAACTGCATTGAGAACAGCTGTTTAACCGGACAGAATGAAGATCCGCTGACGTCCGATGCAGAATCCAAGGAAAATCTGATTACCAAAGATTACAACTGCATAGAGATAAAAATGCACCGGTTCTTAGACATGGCAGACAACGCGACATTGCCTGTACCCGTTAATAAACTCGATCTCGGATACACACCATCACCATGTCCTCAGTAACTATACTTGCGATTATTCTGTATTTAAAAAAAATTCAACCCCCTGGTTAGTTTTAAAAAAATCTGTTATACGTACTCAATCCACTCTGCTCTATTAGCCCAAAAAATTTGGGATTTAATCGTTAGTAAGAAATTTCTGACTAACCTAAATTACCTGATTAATAAGTATTATATTTTTGGGAATTTGTACACTAAAGCCAACTCATTATCATCAATTTACTCTTATATTTTCTCTCTAATAAATTAAGTACCTTTATATTTTATTTTCATATCTCATGATGTATCCAATATTATGGCATGTCGAATTATTATTTTAAAAAATTGTTTTTACTTTTAGTTGTGTAGAAACTCGATTCTTAGAAGATGGGCCATGCAATCTTCTATCTCCTAGTGAAATGAACATGATCAAGCCATCTTCAAAGGTGAGAAAATCAAACACGTGCTGTCCTGAAGTATTAAAACGACTAGATTTTAAGAACATTAATCCAAAAGTAGCAGTTTTACTGCATGACAAGAATAATTGCAGAAAGACGCAATGATTATAAAACTATAACAAATAAACAACATACAGGATTTTAAAAATACATCAAATTAATAAATAATTGTATAAAATAAGAGTTTCAAGCATTAATATTTTCTTCTCATATTAGGAACCAAATATTTATTGTATCAATTATTACACAATATTATAAGTAGGAAGTTTAATGTAACATGTAAGTACCAATCAGATTGGTACTTTAATAAAAATTAATTGTAATCTAATGACAACAATTTTGTTCAAAATATAATATTGTTTAATAGGTAACATAATAACATTGATTATAATTTGCTCACTGAGTGGTTTTTCAGTAATGTGAAATAAAATTTCCTATAGATGGCGATAGTAGAACCAATTTGGAATTACATGTTGGCCACCATACACTACTTAAGAAAGGGTGAAGTACACTTTTATTAATCCATACAAATAATTATATTTGTATGTAACTCAATCTATTCTACTTGATTTCATTAGAAAATGTAATTACATTTATATATTTGTAAATAATACAATGCATTATCTCATCGATATTTTTAAATTATCTTTTATTATATAAACTATATTAGGTTTTGACATAAGTTTACACTTTTTTATAACAAATGGCATCAAAGGTTTCTTTTTAAAATAGTATAGTTGTACACATAAATCTAACCTATACATACCTACGATCTTGAATCGACGAAGCCCTCATCAGGTTGGAAAACGTCATGACTGAGAGTGTCAGACTGACTGTGCCGTTGTGATATGATCAGCCTTCTGGTAGTTGGTTGGTCCTCACCTCGGCCTCATTGATCCTCTCATCTTGTTCCTTGTGGCATAGTATATACGATAGTCTACCATGCCGTAGAAAGATTGTATTCCGTGAGTAAACGTGACCAAGATTTGATTGTATCTGCTGTAGCCTGTCCCGGGAAAAGATATCCACTGGGCCAGTCAAAGAACGTATGCTTAACAGTGTCCTTCAAATGTGAACCTTTATGTCTTGAGCACGCACCATCCGACAAGGGAATGCCTAAAGCAACTGTAACCTGATTAATCCTGAATGACGTGAAAAGTCCGGTAGAATCCTGTAGATCCATTCCACCTTCCTCGTACGGCCTCACCTGTTGGCGCATGCGTTGTTGACGATTCCGCGCTCAATTCGCTGGACCTCCGTCATAGACTCAGTGTGGCAGGTCCGAATGATCCTAAGTGCTGCAGCCCTCTGTGCCATGGCCATGAAGTTGTGGTATTTAACGATATTGATCACTTATTTAGCACACGTTGTAGCTGCATTTAACTGCAGTCTGTTTTTCACCACTGACAAAAACAGTGTCCTCTTAAATTAAGAGAGCCTTCCAATGTTAGGCAGACATCAGATAGCTCAAGCTGCCTGGAATGCCCTGCCGGAGACCGTTTTCAGATGACTACTAAAGGTGAGATGGGAGTTAAATAAGACATTTAACTTAGAATTTAAGATAACCTTAAATAAATAAAATAAATATATAACGCAAGTTAATTTTTACTGCAACTGCATGGCCACCAACTATCAGATTAAGGACACGGAACTCCCATTTCCTGATTAATATGATGGCCTCCGTCTTCTAATGTACAAGATGGAGTCCACGGTTCCTTATTCAACCGTTAATGGCATCAAATGTGAGATTGACTACCTTTTCTAAATCCTCAGGAGTAGCGGTATACGCAACGGCAAAGAGAGCCACATCATCAGCAAAGTCGATTAGTTAACACTCGTTGATCCACAGAAGATCTCATCAAATATGAAAAACCAAAAAATAAATGAGAAAAAACGGGAAAATTTATGAAATATATTATTAAAAAACTACAATTATTTTTTCAGTGCAATTCTTTTCTACAAACAATTTTGTTCCAATTCATAGGTAATGATAGCAATTTTTCTAAAAGAAAATTTCACTGGAGTGGTACTTTAGTGAGGTTGTTAATCGATTTCCTCTGAAGTTTTTTCAACAAATGTGAAAAACTGGGAAAAAACATATTAAAACCGAGAAAAACTTAGGAACACTGGAAACATTAATACAACATTAAACAATACAGACTTAGAGATATTAAATACCCAAAATTACAATGACCTTAATTCAGTTTTAGAAGAATTACATACATACAATAAAAAAAAGAAAAATAATTTTAATAAATAATATCTTATTTCAATACATTTTAGATAACAAATAATAACTAAAATTTATACTTCTTAACATATTTATGTCTAATAATAACCAATTTTAAATAATCTCTTATATTAAAATAAATTATTTCTATAAAAAAGACCAATTTGTATAATTTCGTTCTATGTATTCCTTCATTTAATTTTTCATATTCAGTTGCGTTTTACATTTTGAATGTGATATACCTGATGATGAATTTTTAATTCGAAACTGGTCGTATAATACACTTATCATAATACTCTAGGCGACACATTTGTTCATTTATTTATTTTGTATTTTTATGTATACATTTTTTTATTTATATATTTATTTACCATATACATTTACGAGTATTAACCATTTTAATAACTTTGTGTTACTTTATTATTTTATTATTTACTAGCCGACCCGTCACGGCTTCACCCGAGATTGGTTGTTTAATTTGCCTTTGGATAATGATATATAGAACTTTTTAATCAAATTCTATCGTTTAATAATATCGGCAAATTAATATAAAAAAAAAAAAAAAACGGTTAATGAAAACGTATTGAAATGTTTCAAGCGGGATTAATGACAAATATATTTTTACTAAAAATGAATGCAGATACAAAAGAAATGCTGAGTAATTTACGGTTGATAAAGAATTTTATAAAACTTCTGAGTATATGGCGTTTTTTGTTTTATCTCCTGTTGAAATTAAAATCATAAGATGCTTCGGGTCCCCAGTTCGAGAAAATCTCACGTATAATTGTCCATGTGAAAAGCACTGTGTTCGAAGACCTACGCCAACGTACCTGTATGTTTGACCTTGAGCTTTGTGTATCGTGATTGCCAAAGAAACTTTAACAGAGAATTAAAACCGTTTGAACGGAAACGGCAAGTCCGACGGAATCACGGGAATTCTTGGAATAAATGCAATTTCTCCTTTTGCCGGCCCCGTAAGAATGACGGCTCTTATAACACTATTCTGCAACGATTTTATTTGTCATCTTGTACCGTTACATAACTTCGGTGGTTGAAGATTACGTAATAATGTAATCGGAGTACCAATTTTTAATTTTAGCTTATGGAGAGGAAATCCCGAAGGAAAAAGAGAATTGAGAAATTATTGTAGATATAAATATATAAAGATATAGATAAAGATTAATACGAATATTCGGTATACATGTTGTTTGGTGTGCGTGCGATAAACTTCTCGGAACAATTCGTACCTACACGCCGATGTCAAACACGATACAATTTGACGAACAAAAAGGTCAGGTCGCGGGTAGCTGTAAACCCGCGGGCCGCCGTGCCGCACAATACGTATATAATATGGGTAGACAATTTTTTNCGGTGGTTTTCTCGGTTAGCGCGGTCGTAGAAAACCCCTTACAATTTTATATAATAGTATAGATTGCACAATGAATCGCTGTTTCGTTGTCGAAACGCGCGTGTCAACCGAAAGGTCCGATAATGATTTATGGGATTCAATACGCGGAGTCACGCGTAGTTCTCGATCGAGAAATCCGTATATCTAAACACGCGCGTCCATCGTCCATGTGAACCTAGCCTAAATGATTAGTTAATATAACGAAGTTATAATAATAACAATATAGTATAGATATGAATATTGGGTATACGTGTTGTCGGTGTAAGTGCGATATACTTCTCGGAACGCCGATATCAAACACGATACAAAAAAAAGGTCAAGTTACAGGTAGCTGTAAACCCGCGACCCGCCGTGCCGCACAATATAGGTACAATTGTTTTTAATTTTTTATGAACTTTTATGAACTTTTTTACTGACAAAAGTGGTACTATAACCTTCAGCAGAGTGTCGGGTTTCAGCCAAATCGGTCCAGTAGTTTTCTCGGTTAGCGCGGTCGAAGAAAAACCCTTACAATTTTATATAATAGTATAGATTGTAGCAGGCCAAGCGAATGTTCCAACTCAGTTAATGAACAGGTTTGAATATTTAAACATGAAATTAATAAATACCAATATAAATATCTACTTCAACAAAACTTGTAAGAAATTGAAAGTCGTTCTAAAATACATCAATATACATATTGTTGGTGCCAATTGATAGGCATAATATTATAATCGCGCGTCCACATTCCCCGCACCAATACCCGCCCATGCCACCATTGTTTAAGTAGATCAGCGTACCTAAAATAACGACTAATAATTGAAAATTAATAAATATTATAAATTAATGAAAAGCTCCGATCGTTCTCACACACACGCACACACAAACACAGAATATTTAAATTAAGTTTATGTTATCGCTGTGAATTATTGTTAGCTTTAAGTCCCATAAGATGTCCACACCGTGCGGCAGTCCGGTGTACATATACTGTTAATGAGTTTTTGTCCGTTATACGGTTGTTTCGTTGTTGTCTCCGGTATTCAGCAAAGTACTATAGGTACGAATCACCGTTTCGTTTTATAAAACGCATTGTAGGTGCGTGTTGTGCCTGTGCGAGTTATTGTGCTCGTAAGGGTTGTTTTATTTGTTCTGTAGAGTGAGGATCCAATTTTTAAGAGAAAGTATAACAAAACAGTTACATTTTTCATTTTTCATTTGTATACTATAACTATGCTTAAGCTAAATATTATGATTAACAGTGTACAAATACAAATAATTAAACCAAAATTAATCAATATTGATTCGTTATTTGTGTTATTTTGGGTTTCCTACTCCTCATAATTTGAAAAAATAGATTCTGAAGGTAGTAACTTTTTACATTAGTGGTTTTGTATGTAGAACGAGCTATATTTATATTTGGTACAGCGTCTAAGTCCATATCCGAGTACATGGTTCTGAACGTCTCATGTGATAACCTGCAGACGAAGCGGAACATCGCTTGCTGAAAGATATAATTCCTGAACCATAAATTTGTATAATAAGTTGATTATAATTTGAACAAAAAATAATTAAATTTTGTTGAATTACAGTATACAACCATGAATTTGATGACATTAGTTTATAAAAAATACCATGTTCAATTGATGTGTATTTAAGCTTACAAACGTTATTAATGTTGGATAATTTTGTATTGGTTATTAAATTGATTTCGCAATCATCTGATGCCGTCACCCTTTGAGTTACAAGATTTTTACATATTTTAAAATATTTCGTGTCGTAGCACATACTCAATTCATTTTGGTCTAAGTTAATATACAATTCTTGGTCAATAGTGAAAGCTAAATACTTAATCCTAGGTTTAATGAACATATAAATGTTAGTATCTACTAACATTGGATTAGGTATAATATTATATAAACTGAATAAACTACTAGAAACTATTGGAATAATATTTATAAACATAATTATATCATTATGTCTGATAATATTTGTTTGCATAATATTAAACGTTTCTGACATGTCTAGACCCATAGGTCTAGTTGTACTGGTATATCGAGATTAGATGGACGATTCAATTTAATTGTTTTCATTTCTTCTAATAACTGAGCTGAGCTGAATTATGAATGAGTGTAGTTTTTCCTGTATAGCAAAATGTAAGATTTGATTTACTTGACCTAATTCTAAAGAATATTGGTTTTAAATTGTTTCTAAATTTAAGGTTTAATTTCTTAAAATTATTTTCATATTTCTATCACTAAAGATATCTCTATCTGAAGTAAGATAGTGGCAAATTCTCTTCATATTATTTGTAACTTCTGTTATCGTTTCTACTGTTTTTTTATCAAGAATTGTTGCTTCATTTGTACTAACAGGAGTGATCATCATTTTATTTTCTATTATAATTTGAAATTTTCTATCATTTTTTATCATAATCTTTATGCTTGAGTACCATTTGGAAATATCATTTAAACTAATTGTTCCAAACACAGTATATTTCATATCTTTTATAGTTTTAGATATGTATTTTTAATTTCTTAAATGGTTTTGTCCTTCAATTACTCAAAGAATATTATTAATTTCTACTTCAAATTCGCTTAAAATTTTTTCTGACTGATTTAAAATTTGAAAAAATATCATTTGTATAGAATTGTTTATTAAAACAAAAAAAAAATACAATTATTTTTGAAACTTTTGGTAGCTTCATTGCAAAGTGAAAATGTTTCTTCTTGTAAAGAAGATTTACACATTTATATAATGTGTAAGATAAATTGTAATTTTTATGTATGTCGTGATATCCCAATCAGCTGCAACTGTGCGCATGTCGGAGATGTAGTCGAAATAAATTCCCGATGACTCTTTTGTTTGTGAAATATTATATAAAGGATCTGTCCTTACAAAGCGACCAATCACTGCCATCACGTAGCTCGTCAGTTTTGCACGGCAAACCCAACTACTTTAACTGAGCTACAAATACACATATACACACAAACACAAAGTGCTGCCGATCGAGTAGGTAGGCGCTACAAAAAGATGGTGCGCACAAAGTAAAGGTGCCTGGAAAAGCGCAATAGTATTTTGTGCACCCAGCCCAAACATATATCAAATGTACATCCGAAGGTGCAAAGTCAAGAAAGGAATAGAGACAATAATATGGTTGAACTCTAAAATAGAATTTGCACTCAGAAAAAAACGCGTAATACTAGGAAAGATTAATAATTTAGAAAAAATGTTATCTCAAAATTTAAACTACTTATGAATTTCATACTTTAAAAATCACATCCAACAAAAATTACTACATATTAAAAATGAGAAATGACATAGGGTTAAAAATAAAATTAATATTTTAGTAGCACAAAATACACAAAAATTACAACTTAAAAAACAAGAATTTTTTTTAACAGTAGTTTACTAATTTAACTTCCATAATTTTCAATAAAGCTGAAAACAATTTATTAAATAAAGGCAATAAATTCAATACATATAAAATATTAAACTTTCAATAAATTAAAAAACAATTAATACAATGTGAATTTGTTATAAATTATATACAATTTCAAAATCAAAATCAAACAAGATATGACTTATTAAACAGCACCAATAAAAACTACAAAAATATCCCCGATCAAATATTAAAACAAAATAATATTGTAAACGACAAAATACAATTATTAACAAAATAGGGAATAAATTAAAAACAAATAATTTAGAAATAGTTCCGGTAAATAAATCTAATACTATTGTTATCATTTACACTAATCAAATTTTAAAAAAAACTTTTGATATTATAAATAATAATAATATTCATAACTTAACATATAATACACAACTATAATTTACACTAAACAAATTATTAAATGATAAATTCGAGAAATCATACCTAAAGTTTAAAAGAAAATATTATTAAAATATGATTACAAAATAGAGGCTCCACTCTTACATCGATTTACAAAATTACATAAACAAGATAATCCGATTCATCCATAAATTATCTTTAAAACAGCTCCAGATTATAACCTTGCTAAATATTTAGATTCTTTCATAAAAGAAAAATTGAAAATGAATATTGATACTTCAAAAAAAAAAAACACTTATGATTTTATTAAAAAAATAAATAAAATTAATATTGAGCCAGATTACAAAATAGTTTCTCTTGGCGTAAAAAATGTATACACATCCATTTCTAAACACGAAACAGTAAATTTATTGTTTAAAAATAAAATTATACATATTAATAAATTTAATACAAACAAAGTACAAGAAATTATTCAATCAATAAATGTAATTATTAAGCAAAACTATTTCTAATATAATAATAAATTATATTCACAAAAAGAATTGTTAGTTATGAGTAGACCTTTAAGTGCTCTTTTATCTGAAATTTACATTCAAAAAAATTAAATCAATAATATTATTAAAAACATGATATTCAGCTCATATATAAAAGCATATTATGATGAAACTTTCATTTTGTTTAGAAGTTTAAATAGATAAGCAGACAATTTAGTTCATGACTTAAATAAAATAAATAAACATATTTAATTTACACTCCAAATACAAATAAATAACAAATTAAATTTCTTAGATATAACAGTTTCTGTAGTAAAAAAAAAAAAATTGATTTTAGTATTTACAGGAAACCTACACAAAATTTATGCTATAATATCTCATGATTCTAATCACCCTTATACTCAAAAAAATATAATTTTTTAATTCAATATTCTATAGACTTGAACGTATTCCATTAAATAAACATATCAACAAGAGCTCAATATTATCTATAATATAGCCCATAGAAATAAATTCAATTTAAATGCTATTAAAAAAATTAATAAACGTATTACAGAAAAATATAATTTTTAAATAATATAATTTTTATAAAATTAAAACGTATTACAGAAATAATAATACACAACTCACCAAATAATTTTGTTAACTATTGTAGTATGAAATATCAAAAAAATATGACTAATAAATTCGCTAAAATTCTGAACAGTAGTACAAAAAATGTAAAAATCGCTTTTAAGACTAATAATAATTTAATCAAACATATAAACAATAGAACTAAAAACTTCACAAAAAATCCCTCTTCTTTTGAAAATGCTGGTGTGTATAAACTTAAATGTAGGTAACTGTAATACATTTAATAAAGGTAAGACAAATAGAAATTTTTAAACAATATATAAAGAATACATTTCTGAAATAAAATTTAAAAAGACTGCCCTAATTCAAATTTCGCTAAACGTGTTTAAGAAAATAACCATAATATAAACTTTGATATTAATACAGACTTAGAAATATTAAATATCCAAAATAGCATAGCAAAAAAGTCAATTTCATATAATTTTAAAGCATTTCTAGAGCATTTAAGAGCATATAAATCTGGTCTCTAGTTAAAACGTATATAAACTTGGTTCAGTCTATTATTACTATTATTATTATTATGGTTTACCCTTCTGGGGAAATACTTACAATATACATATATATAAATTAAATATTACAATTAATTTCCTTTTAAAATTCATTATTTTTAAACCAAGGTTATACCTAATACCCAAATAATAATATCTACAAAGACTATAGTTTTAATAACTTAAATATTACTATAAACATGTTTGTTGATTTGTGTTTAAGTGTAAAGATATCATTGATTCTGTAGTGCAATAAATGAGTCAATAATCATAAAACAAGGTTTCAAAAGATAGACATTTGCGCGCGGGTAGGCCACTGTTGTAGGTGTGAAATTAGGAAAGTAGTAGAAGGGAAATTTATTGTATGTCTGTATACAATGATTAATCATTACTAACGAAAATACGATTTTGAGTGGAGTTCAGTTAATAGTGTTGCTTCATCAACAATATATATGTCATATTATGGTAAAATAATAACATAAGTATGTATTACATATTTTCCTAAAATTAGAATATCCTTAAATCTTTAAAAAAAAATCCTTAAATACTATCCTATCTAACCTAACCAAACCTAACCTAACCAACTTGGAAAATTATTTGTGGATGCTGAATTAGAGATTCGTGCTCACTCCTTAGTTGTTGATATTATTCTCATTTGTTACACATTTCTTATTAATGAGGTACTTTGTTTTATCATGGCTGAGTGGCTGAGTATGAAAATTAGGGAATTTCAATGAGTCAATATTGTGATAACCTTATAATATGTACAATATAGTTGTTTAAAATTAGAATTACAAAATGTTAACAAGTAATCTTAAATACTACTACAACTAATATAATAGAAGGCTATCTTTTTTCACAACTAATCAATTGTAGGTTAATATTTAATAAGTAAAATGATCACTGTTCATAAATATTTTGTAATATTAATTATTTTATGAATAGCTAATCATCAAATAATTCCAAAACAGTTATTGTTTTATGGTGTGCAAATCAATTTTGACAAATTTAATTGACAAAAAAAGAATAATAAAATAATGTGTGTAGGTATACAAAATATTTATAGATTTATAACAGATTTTTGAAATAATATAAAAAAATTATGATGTTTATTTGACCAATACAAATATACAAATAGTAACTTAAATGACTAAAAATACTATAAATTTGATTTTACTTTCGAATTGTCCTTCTACCTATTCCTTTCTAAAAATGAAATGCAAATATTGTCATAGATTTTATTATATAAAGTTTGAAGATTTTAAAATAAATTGTAGAATATTTATTTATACTTTTTGGTTATTCAGTTTAAAGTATTATGAATTAATCAAATTTAGTATATCTCTTATTGCACAACATAATATATGTATATTACATAAACATAATTATGTTAACTATCATCATATAATATCTAGTTTCTTATCATCTGAATTCAACTTTACATTTTAGATTCTGAGTGGAGAGAAGAAACTTATGGTTTTACAAAGATATTTTTTTTTTTTCTTTGGACAATTTTTCTACCAGAGAGCTTACTTCAATTTTTAAGTAAAGCATTTTTTCCAAAAGAAAATCTGACTGAAAAAATCCTTTAAAGAGGTCATTTTTTAATTTTCCCAGAAGTTTTCTCAAAAAATGTAAAAATCCGAAAAAAACAAAGAACAAACAGTAAAATATACAAAATGTAGGTATTAGTTAAAACAAATTACGGCCTTCTTTTTTCATATGAATAACTTTTTTACCAGCAATTTTGCTCCAATTTACAATAATAGCACTTTTTCTGAAAAGAAATCTGACTGGAAATTACTTTAAGAAAGTCATTTTTCGTTTTTCTCAAGTTTTCCCAGGAAATATGAACAACCGGGAATAAACATGGGGGAACCGAGAAAAACGAAAACATTGGTATACCATACAAATATTATTAGAGAAAATATATAAATACCTGTTTAATTATTTTATCATAATATGACATATATATATTGTTGAAAAAGCATCACTATCAACTGAACTCCGCTCAGAATCGTATATTCGTTAGCAATGGTTTATCGTTGCTTATAGATATACATTAAATTCCCTTTAATATCCTACCTTCCCAATTTCACATTTACAACAGTAGCTCACTTATCATTCGAAAATGTATTCTTAATACTTTTTAAAGTATTTTACCCATGTCTGGTATTGGGTAGACATATTAAACCATTAAAAGTACAAATCAGGAGTTGTATAGGCAACGTTGTCTACACAATTGAGAACCACTGGGCATTCTTATCAAATATTGCTAATGGAAGTACATCAACATTTTGCAGTCAGAATTTCCATTTTTTAATTTCCTACAAAAATATTTGTGATTTCAACACTTTTTCGTTAGATACCTACCCAAAATCCATGTTATTGAAAATGATTAAAAATTTAAAAATCTAAAATCCGTTTTCCAAGGTCAATAATAAAAATCCTCTAGCATTTTCCTATATTTTTAAGTTTACTTTTGACCCCGAGTGCTAGACAGCATCTGTGAACGATAACATTTTTCTTAGTTCACGAACACAAACCTTTAACCACTATGAAATGAGAAAATGAACTCTGGTATTGGTCAAACGGAAAATACATGAATTATGCATTTTTCAAGTTTTTTTTTTGTAACTCAAGAGCCAGACTTCAACCCATATTTTATGATTATAAGTCCTAATCAAAGAAAACTTTTTTTAAAGTTGTAATAATCTAAATTTTCTTTTAAATTTGAATACTTGATATAAATTAATATTTAATTAAAATACTTACTTAGTATTTCATTTGTAACTAACAGCTATAGGTAATATCTATATAGGTCATATTTTTTCTAGTAAAACACGTTATACGTGAATTCAACAATAATTTGTAACTTGAACATTTATGAAATGCAGCTTCAGCATCGAGTACAATAAATATTTTTATTTCAGCAACCCAAAATTCTGAATCTCACATCGGATTTGTTACTATATTACAGGATAATTAAAAAAAAAAATAATTGACACTTTCTTTGCTGTGCCTCTAGTATATATATATAAATCAATAATAATATATATCTCTATTTTGAATGTGATGAAAAAATAAATATATAATAGTATAATAAATGTTGAATAATTTATGAAATGTCAAAGTATTGTTCACAAAAATTGATGATAATAATTAATTGAATACTGCCAAATGTAAATACAAAAAAGATGACATACAATATTGATTGGCTTGATGTGATATGAGGGGGGGGGGAGTATATTAATATTATAAATGCACCTCACCTTACCATAACCAATAATAATAAAAAAAAAAACAAATGATAAATATACCACTAAGTGTACTAACAAATGCAATTATAAATGACCGCGACTGGAGAGACAAGACTTTATTTAGTTACTCTAATCATAACTATAGGTATGTAAACTAAACCTTTAAAATACACGTTTAAATATATATTGGCAAATATAAAATTTAATATAATAAAATAATCTACTTTCCCATTGCTAAAATTGTACTTATTTGTCATTTTAATATTATAGGCGTTTTAAAACAACTCAACTTACTATAACAATTATAGTACTTTCACTCTATAAAAAAAAAAAAATGCAGGAAAAGATGTTCTGAACCAAAGGAAACATCTCAAGTACTATTAGATTTTAGATTCCGAGCATAGCGGGTAAGCTATTGGTTTTATAATGCTGTTTATTTTTTTTTCTTTGTTCTAGACTGTGGACACATTTTTTCCTAGTAAACTTTCTTCGATTTTTACTTGTTCAGATAAAAAAAAAGTAATAATAATCATCTTTGTAAAACCAATATATTCCTCGTTTCATTTAGAATTAAACATATGAGTACATTTGATTTAGCCTTTGACCAGTGCTATGGTGCACAGGAACAGTGCACCACCTATGGTTTTAAAATCTATGAGTACATTATATTGTTGTTATTACTAAAATATAAAAATATATTATTAATTGTTATAATACATATTATATTATGAACTAGAAATGCATTCATATTTATTTTAGAGACAAGAATAAAAATTATTTTATAAAATTAAAGAAGTATTTAATGTGAAAAATTAAGAAAAACAAATGTTAGCGCAGGTTATAGGTATGCCATCATACACAATTTGCTGTGACAGTGGTCAAACATCCTCCGATTTTTACGGGTAGCAACTTTTCTGAAAGCTCAAATTGTCTTGATTGTACTTTAAAAAGGTCATTTATTGATTTTCGACTCCATTTTTTAAATAATAACATTTAGGTGGGAAAAAACGTAGAAAAACGTACAATTTTACAATTCATTATTTTATAAAAACACAGACGACATTTTATACCAGAAAAAATGATTTAATTGAAAAATCACAAAATATCTTTTTTGTTGCCTTTCTAATTTACTTTCTTACGGTATCGTGGCTAAAACTCTTGAGCTTTTGATAAATTTAAATTTTTGGAGTTTTTTTGCTGTAATTCGGTTATAAATACACGTAAAGACTTGAAATTTCCAAAATCATCGAGCGACTTTTTTTAAATTTTTTTACAATGATACTTTTTTTTTCATATTGTAGACCACTTTTATCCAAGAAAACTTCCTTCGATGTATAAATGTAGCACCATTTCTGAAAGTAAATTTTATTTACTTAGTAAATACATAAGTCATTTTTTGATTATCGAAATGGTATTTAAAATAAAAAACGATTAACCGGGGGGAAAAATACGATTTTTTCACGATTTCGTTATATTAAATAATTACTTACGTTAATCAATTGTAGTCAGTTGATAAAAAAAAAAACCAATAAAAATAATTATTGTTATGTATAAAGATCAGCTTTTAAATTACCAATATTCTCATAATCGCGTTGAGTAGAGAAGACGATTTTACGATTTATTCTCAATTCTTATTTGCTACCTCCCCTCATTAACAATTTTTGGGCACGCCACTGGCCCTCATTATTATTTAGGCTCTCTTATTTATTATAGTCCATCATTACCACAGATCAGTTGCGTGTTGTCTACATTTGATATCACAATTCATGACATGTTTAGTGATAAGGATAAAAAGGCGGTGAGTTATCATCAATGATCATGACCATAACCACGACTAAGGATCAACTGTTATGTGGTAACGGTTACTTGGTATGACGCGCCCGTCCGTACACACACACACACACGTATTCCGTAGTTCTCCCTTCCAATCTTTTTAATTTTCTGTCATTCATTCGTTAGACATTTTATTTATCTTGTATCCATTTTGGTAACAAAGAATTATTGGCAAAAAGTACTCTGCATTTTTTAAGAACATTGACATTCTCGAAAATAGTAAAATACAATACCAATTCGTGTATATACAATTTAATATCGAAAAGGGAAATTACCAATTTTGTTTTTTTACAAGGTACGTACCAAAGTCTCATGACCTATATACATATACTTATACTTATTAAAAGTAAAACACACCACCTACCTATATGATTGTGTTTAAAATGAAAAACAATGTTTTCATTCAGTTTTATATTTTGCATAGGTATATGGTGATATTTTTTAGATGTATTGTAATAGGTGTGAACATACATATGTATATTATATTAGCATATGGTATACATTTTTTACACACATTTTTCAATAATGATCAACATATCCTATAGGATTGTTGAGAAATTGGGTATAGGTATGAAAAGAAAATACTGTAGACAATTACACTACCTACCTACATTATATTGTATTGCATTGTATATCTTAGGAATAAGTTGTGAATCTCTTAAAAATGTGCATAATATGACTATAATTCCAATAATATCTTTCTAGGTTTAAGAATGCATTCCAATTGTTTTTTTTTTTATTTACTTTCCTGTTTATTATTCAAAGATATCATGTTTTAACCACAACCTTTGTCATTAATTTTAATTGTATAAAAAAATAAATATATAAATAATCTCAAAAGGTATATAATTTATGAATCGAAGGAAAACTGATTATTATTTATTTATTTGACTAGACTTGACCAAAAAGAAAAAAGAAAATATTATTTAATATTGGATAATAGATATTTTCTAATAACCTATGCCTTTTTATTAAAACCAGTTAAAATAAATCCATATCTAATGATTATTCTTGATAATTTGAGTATTTTAAAGTTTTAAATACTACACTTAATTTTTTTAAATTTACTATAATCTATGCAGTTTTTATGTTTGGATACTTGACATATTATAGTTTGTACAATTTATATCTATCTAAAATACACTGACCACTAGAATTACTGAATTATGTAACAGTACCATTATATAATATCATACTTCATTATGCATTTATTTTGTTAACAATTAATTAAATATTTGCTAATTTGTATTATTTTTTTCATGTTTCAGTGCAACAATTAAAAGCAAACTATGGAAGATATATATGCCAAGTTAGTACATATGCTTACATAATACTATTAATTTAATCAATATATTATAATATATTTAATCTAATCAATTATAATACAAAACTAGGAAAATTATGTAAATGACATTTATTCATAATTTATTTGTCATAATAGTAACAAAATGCAATGCATTTTTTTATTTCAGGTGCTTATCTCTTACAGTATAATATTGATAAAAATATTTTAATATAATAAATTATATATATTTTCTTTTTTTTAAAATTTTTATGATACCCGTATGTAAAAGGTTTATATTGAATCAATGAGCTATTTTTATGTAAACATATATATATTTTAAAATTTTAGCAAGAAAGCATATAATGTCTTGCTTTTTTAAATTCAAGAATACAAAATAATATAATTTAATTAAATAAATTGTCTAGAAATTATTAGAAGTCCCTAATAATATTAATATTTAAAATTATTGCTATTTTTGGTTTATAAGATACATATTAAAATATAATGAAAATATAATTGGGTTATTTATTACAACACTGTACATTTAAATGTCATTTGTAATACCCTATTTTTCAAGAACTTTTATAAAATTAGAATTTAGTTCAGACCCAGCAGCTTTTTGTAACTACTTCAAACATAATGCAAATGTGTTCACAAATTGATAATTTTAATCTATGCCCAATCAATAATTCAATTTTGTTTGAAGAAAATCATGAATATAGTTGAGTATAGAAAGTCACTAGGTTTATTAAAGACAAAGATTAATTAAATGGTATTGTACAATAAGGTGTTGACTACATGAAAACTTAAATTACTGTACAAATTTTAATGTTATTAACATTTTAAATGTTATACCTAAAACCTTATTTTTTATAATAATATTTAAAAACAAAATTAAAATTGCATTGCCTATAATACTAATAATAATAGTAATCTGTCTCTATATTGTGTGGATTATGTTTTTAGATTTGTTATAATTAAATTATATCATATTATAGATTTATTCAAGAATGAGCTGATATAATATAATAATCTTGTAATATAAAATTAATTATGTAATCACTATTACCCTCTCTTTCTTATTATACTTGTATATGCATATATTTTCTTAATTTTTATACAATTACATATTTATTTAAATTATTGAAAAGTCAAATTTAGATTCTATTTTGATGGCAGTTTGATCCATGATTAGTTTTATATTTCAATGTGGTTTTATATCAACAATTGAATTCAATGTTTTTAAAATTTGTACACAATATTTTCATGGAAAAAAAATGAATTTAATATTTTTTTGGTTTTAAACTCTTAAGAGGACGTTTTACCCCCATCTACTGTTTCAGTCAAACTACAGGGTAAAATGGAAAAATAATGCTTATGCAGAATAAGTAAAACTAGTTTTATTTTGATTTTAGAGTAAAAGTACCTATTATGAAATTTATAGTGAAAAATATTTTGGAAGGAATGTTATAGGGTTTCTTTTTATTATTCAAAATATACAGCTCGATATAAAACCTTAATTTTTTCTTTTTTAAATAATTATAACTTTTTAATAGTTCATATTCCAAAAAATCACTTACCGCGGTCCCTTTAAAATATTGTTCTCTATAAATGTTTTTTCTTTAACTCTCCAATTAAAATTAAGCCAGTTCTACATATTCTTTGTAAGCATTGTTTTTGTATGTTACCCAGTAGTTGGACTGAGACAGTAGTGGGGGTATAAGGTCTTAATATGTTATTTTTAAACTTAAAAACTTAAAAAGATAAAAAATAATTAATTCTTTGAGCCATACATTGTACCTACTTGTAATTTAATAATTATAAGTATCTATCTATTCTACCTACATTTCAAAAATGGGTATGTTTTTATCTTACTATAATTTCATGGTTGTGTCCAATACAAATTATATAATGCATCTTATGCAAAATTATAATTACATATTTATTAATTAAGTTAAATTTTATGAAACTCGTTTTATTGATATATTTAAGTAAGTCACTTTTTGATTTTTTTTTTGGGGCAGTAAACTAATATGACAGGAGAGGTAAAGTTAGCTGGGAAGTATATAGGAAGTAAAGGTAATTCAAGTTCAGAAACCACATATATTCTTGATATATTCTATGGGAGTGAGAGTAAAACAAAGTTTTGTATCCAATTTTTAACTGGTTTTATGGCTGTTATTTATTTGTTACAGAAAGATTACTATTGAGTGGGTAGAGATTAAATAGAGTTACAATCACTGTTATAAATATCAACTACCCCCATATTATATTACTTGGTTATTTTATTATTACTGTCATAATTCTTACTAGAATACCACTATGAACTACACTGTTATTTGCTTTGATTGTATCAGTGTATTAGTATTATGATATACTATTAGTCTATTATGAATATTTTGACATCAAATTACATAATACCTATGTTAATAGAGTAAATATTATGAATTTTGATTTTAGTATATTTATTATTATTTTATAAATTTGTATTATTAATATAAAATATTTTAATGTCTTACTGTTGGTGTTGTGTATGGCAGTACTGACACTGCCTAAACTGTGTTTTTTCTGTATCTTTTTTTTTTGTTAAATGTATTAACGATGTGGCTATGCTACTGTTGTTTTACAATGAGTATCATATCTACCTATGTATCATTATAACACTGTATTAATTAGTACTCTTACAAATTATATTTTGAATTGTTATTTACTTTTATTAAATTATTTTAATGTTGTTTGTGACAACATAACATGGTGTCACGTAGATATAATATGAAATAGTGCTATGGACTTCGTGCAATCAAAATTAGTCTGCCAGATAGCCAAGATGTAATGGGTGTATGAGCATTAAAACTTACGGAGAATCATGGGAAGAATTTAAGAAATGGGAACAAAGGTAGGATTTTTATGTTAATTTTTGACTTACACTTTACCAAATAAACTGCAATCTTGCTAAACTTGATGGGCAATCAAGATATTGAATATTGTATAATATGTTCAACCTAGAATATAAAGCAACAATAAAAGAGTTAGTGGAAAAGTTCAAAACATACTTTAATCCTCACAAAAATATATTTTACAAAAGATTTAAATTGTGTTTAACGCAAAATAAAAAAAAAAGGTCAAAGCATTGAAGAATATATTATTAAATTCCAAACATTAACACAGTCATGTAAATATAAAAAACAAATAAACATGTGTCCTGATGGATTGATAGTTAGACCATCCGATATTGGTCTGCAAAAGTGTTTGTTGAGAAAATCAGACCTTACTGGAGAAAACTATTCTACCAAACTACTGAAGCAAGTTAACACCAAGCAAATATGATTCAAGGAAGAAAAAGCAAAGCTGGCGAGCTACAATCAAGCAAGGGGATGCAGTTATGTTAAAAGAACGATAAAATGCCTACAGGAAGTCAAATAGAAGTCAACAAAATGGTAGCTAAAAGTCTTATAAAAACCCAAGTATTAACAAATGTAGTAAGTGTGACTCTACTTAGAAATTTTCCAGTGTTTAATAAAACTTGCGCCAAATGTTAAAGCACAATTATTTTGCTTCCCTTTGTAAAACAAAAAAAAAAAATGTACTTTTAGTTGGTAGTGAATCTGAGGTTAATAGTTTGTTCTTTCATTTGTTAATAAGTAATAATGATTATACATAAATCATGTTACAAAAATGTACTGTTGTTTGGAGTGAAAAATAGTATTAGTGTGAAGTTTAAGCTAAACTTTGGGGCAGAGGCGAATATTTTACTCTTAATATAGTACATTAATTGTTAAAGTTAAATAAATTGGTTAACACAAGAATTGTTCCAGTTAATATTGGTAATCAGAGAATAATAAGGGGAAATGACAATAGACTGTAATCAAAAACGGTGATGTGAAACAAAAAATAAAAATTTTAGTTATCAATATTTGTAATGCTATTCCTATTTTAAGACTTGAGGCATGTAAAGTGTTATAGTTAATTAAAAGAGCTGATTTAGTAAAGTAAAATATGAGAGCATCAAAATGAATATAAAAGTAGTTAATTGACTCTTCAGGATGTATTTGAAGAATAGGTACATTTCCTGACTGAAAATACCATATTACACTAGATAAAAGTGTTAAACCAGTGGTTAGTTCAAATAAGAGAGTACCATTTAGTGTAATTCCTGAGTTAAAAGTAACTCTGGAGTTGCTGGAAGAAAGGAATATTAATAAAAAAATCAATATAAGACTACAGAATGGGTGAGTCCATTAGATTAATATTCTTGAACCAAAAAGTTGTTATACCAAAAGTGTTAAGAGAATCAATGGTGAAAATTATACATGAAGGCCTCTAGGAAATAGTTAAATATAATGATAGGGTAAGAGAACTGGTTTTTTAATGTGGATTAGATAAAGATATTTTTCACAATTAAATTTTAATTAAATCCTATATGAAATGTGCAAGACTACAAAATTCCATGCCAAAAAACTTTTATTTTCTCACCCAGTACCAAGTAGACCATGGGAGCAGATGTACTAGAATTTAATCATAAATATTATATAGTGATTACTGATTATTATTCTAATTGGGTGGAACTATTGCATATAAATAATAAAACTTCTAGTGAAATTATAATTAAAATGATATCTGTGTTTGCTAGATTTGGTGTACCTAATGTGTTAGTAGTTGATAATGTGCTATACAATAGTTTGGAGTTTAAACATTTTGCTAGAAATTGGAACATTGATATTAAAACTAGTTGTCCTGAAAAGTATGTAAGGATTCGTAACAAAATATTAAAAATATGTAGTGAGTGTAATAGTTCCCTTATATTGTACTATTGGAATACAAAAATACCCTTATTGAATTAATAGATCTGTCTCTTGCAGAAATGTTAATGTTAATAAAGTTAAAGGACAAGTTACTTGTCTTGAAAAGTATTTTAAAACCAAAAATTATTAATTCAAAGGAGTTAAAAGGTAAGTTATTAGAAAAGAAAAAAAACATTAAGTGTATTATGATAGGCACACAAAACAGTGAATTTAGGCCCCAAGAAGATATATTGTTTTTAAAAGATAATGAGTGGGTACCAGAAAGAGTTGTAAAGAAAGCTAATACCCCTAGGTTTTATTGGATAACTGACATGTATAAAAAAGAGTAAAAGAACAAGTAAGCATTTGAGAAAAAGAAAGTTATAATCATTTTGTACAAAATATAGTATATTAGAGAGCGAGTCTCAGCATATGAATAACTGTGATCAAGTAGTTCATATTTCACAGGAAACCGTAATGGCTAAGAGGTTGCATAAACCTAATAAAGTTAAAAAGATTATTTGTATTATTAGTTAAGGTGTTCATTATTGTATTATGTTTGTTAAATATAGGTAATATTAATGTGTATTATATATATATATATATTTGTTGTAGGCCATATGGAAAATTAGTATTTGGGAAAAGACGGCTCTTTGCAATGGGGTAGCCCAGTTGTGAACTACTTATTATTTTTCCAACCTGTCTACTGTTTTTCAGGCTTATTGAATATATACTTAACAGCAGTTAGGCCTTTTAAGAAATACAATAATTATAATATAATAACAACTATTTTACTTATTTAATTTTAAGGGTAATTTATTACTTTTACAAAGAAAAAAAAGATCAATAGAATTATTATAACATGTAAAATGAATAGTCTGAATAAGTATGGTACTTATTATATAGTATTATATTTATTTTATAAACTCTATATCAATAGTATTGGTGATGTTTAGATTATTTTAAAGTTTTTGATTATTTTATTACTAGTTTTATTTTACATTACTAACAAAAATAAAAATATGTAAAATATTTACTTATTGTTCATGTGCTTTTTTGTGTTACATTTTTTATTTATACTTACAAATTTAAATTGAATTAAATATATTTATTTATATTTTCTGTAATATTCTATATAATAATATATACTTATTTAGTTTACATGTTATAATTATTTTATTGATCTTATTTTTTTTGTGAAAGTAATAAATTACCCTTAAAATAAAATAAGTAAAATGATTGTTACTATATTATAATGATTGTAATAATTAAAATGCCTAACTGCTGTTAGTCTGTGTGCAATAAACCTCAAAAACAGTATGCCATTTGGAAAAAAGTAGTTCGCAAATGGTCTACCCAATTGCAAAAAACCTAGTCTTTTCACAAAAAGACTAATTTTCTATATGACTTACGACATTTATATTAATAAAATACTTGGTGTAAGGGTGTTGTGTATGGTAGCACTGACACTGCCTAATCTATGTGTTTCTCTATATCTATTTTGTATACATGTGTTAGCTGTGCTACCATTGTCTTAAGCCCGGTTCACACTAAGACAACATTGAACTTCATGTAAGTTGTCTATAATTTCCTATTGTTCTGTAATACATAAAAACAAATTGCAACATTGATAAACTTGTAGCTACATGTTGTCTGTTTGTTATATTGTTTTTAAATTGTTTTGTGGTAACATATTTCTTTTTCAATTGAATCATGAATCAATGAAATCTTTTGTTGTGTCAACATACTAAGACTTAAAAAATTGTTACATGTTGCTTTAGTGTGGACCGGACTTTATAATATGTTTCATTTCGTACCTACCTATGTATCAGTATAACTGTATTAATTTATTATTACTCATGCAAATTATATTTTGATTTATAAATTAACAATGTTTAATTTTATTAAAATTGTTTAATGTTGTTTGTAACAACATAAGAGTTGGAATTCGTATTTTCCACAATTTTGGGATAATTTTTTAATCATAGTCTCACTATCCACAGTATAAATAGTTTTTGAGATCTTTTGTTTTAAAAACAGATTTCTCTGTACGGTTTTTGTTTTTTGTACATGTATTATTATGTATACAGGCTATCCCACAAAGATTTGCCCCTTGAATATCTCCAGAGATTATATAGATAATTTAAATTCTGGTTTATATATATATATGTAAAAATAATATAAAATAATATATTTGTATATATATATATTACTCGCAAGGTTGAGAATATATATTTGAATTAAATTTTTTTCAGTAAAAAAAATTTATATGATTTTTTTACTTAAAAAAAAAATGTAATTATAAATATTTGTAGTCCTTATCCCTGTGAGTAATATAACAAAAAAAAACAATAATTTGATTATTTTTATTATCTTTGGAGATAATCAAAGGTTATATCTTCGTGGGACACCTGTATGTAGATTTAATTATTTATGTAGGAGCTCTAATGTTGTTACATTACCTATATTAAAAGTTTAATATAATAGTTTTGAATATGGTAATAGTTAACAAGTATTATCATTTTTAAATTAATTATGTATTAATTAAACATCAGTGATTTATTAGTTACATTTTAAATTTGGTGTATTATTTAGTCAAATTAGTCGATTATCATAGTTATTGTAGCAACCCAGAAAAAAAACATATTTTGTTATCAGTGAAGATCAAGAGTTTAGCAAGTCCGAGAATGTAATAGGCAAAATGTATGAAAATAGCAGATAGTATAGGAGATAATAAAGCACCTTGGGGGACACAATATAAAAATAAAATAGGATTAAGAGGTACATAGACATTGCTACAAAGGGGAACTGTATGGGTAGTATATGAATGCAATCAGGAGAGCCAGTGAAAAGCTAAAATCTCCTTTGTTTACTTTTACATCTCTGTCAGTCTGATTAATCACAATAAGTATAAACTAGAGTATGAATTACTATTATTACAATAGAAGTTGGTGGTTCTAATTTAGCTCTTTCTAAAGATGCAAGAACAATTGCTCTAAGTTAAAACCATTAGAAGTTAAACATTTACAGAAATTAAAGATGATATAGATTTCTCACAGAAATGAGATGTTTTTCCAAGATGAAGAGTAGTCTATGTTACTTCTAGTCATCTAACTATAATTAAATTAATGGAAGACAAGCACACTTTCACTCCTTTTTTCAGTATTTTATTTTCAAAATGTATAATGAATTTAAATAGGTCATTAATTAATTAATCATGTAATTATGAGGATTGAAGAAGATACTCTATATTGAGGTTGTACCTTGTGAAACTTAGGCTGATTTTTCTCTGATTTTTTAGTTACATTCAACTTAATCAATATTATGATTTATATCTTTACTATTAATAATAAACTGAGTGATCCTTTTATCATTTATTACATAATAATTTGCAAATTATACTTTCAAAAAAGAAAAAAAATGTATTGAAAATGTATTTAAGAAACAAGCTGATCTAAAATGTTATATCGTCATTTTTTTTTGGCCCCTATACTTTTGTGGGTGAAAGAACTACCAACTTGATTCTCAAAAAAGTCCTATATATATATAGATAGTCCGGGTACTCTACAGTTTTCCCCTTCCTTGCATCATCTGTAAAGTATAATATCCTACACAGTTATTGTTTCACTTCCAAAAATAAACCAACAAAATAAAAATGTGTAATTAATTTTTCATTAACCAACTAGAGGAAGTTTATAAGCTGATTAAATCTTTTTTATATTATATATACATATTAACAGGTATTACCCGATTTTAACAGGCGAGGAGGAGAGGGGNTATATAAATAATTTTACTTTTTACATTACTGTGTTTTTATAATATATTTTTTTATTTAGATATAATCTTAAAGACTTGAGAGTTGTACTCACAAGATGTGATGATCTATTAAAGGCAAAGGAACATAGAAACACAGTAGAAATGAATGGTAGTGTTCAAAGACAGATGAATATAAATAGTGATATGCAAGTTGGCAATTCAGAAGTGGATCATAAAGAAGAAAATAACTATCAAACACTAATGGATAGATTAGGGTGAGTATCTTGCATTAGGTTGTGAATTTTACTACATTCAAATATAATAATTTATGATGAAATGTAGTTAGAAGCATGTACTAGTAATGTGTTCATTCCAGTCAATTATTTTTAGTAAAATAAATTGAACGAGAAAAATTATTTTTCTGACAAAAATGATTCATAAATTACTTTATAATTTAGACTGGATCAGTAGAGTAGGGTAATGAACTGTATATACATTTTTAGATAATAAATTGATTATGTTCTTTACTCTCCATTTAACCTTTAATTGTGATAACTGATAATTCTTAAATAATAAATTTGATTTTAATGTTATGCATTTCAACATTTATAGACAAATATACTACATTACAGTATATGTTTAACATAAGATATGTGATTAATCTTATAAAAAATCAAAAGCGTATACTTACTTATTTAAGGTATAAAGAGTGAGTAGTATAGATTGCATGCCAATTATTTTATCTAAAGAGTTTAATTGTTAAATTTAGAAAATTCGGGTTAGAGTTGCATACATACTCGTCCAACTGCTTTTGTATTGACATTTTCAGATGTTACAGACAAATAAACAAATCGCATACAGTTAAACAAACACTTTCTTATAGTGACAATTCATAACCATTTGTTCATAGTTTTTATTATATGGAAATGGTTAATATATTTATTAAAATTGTATTTATATTTCAAAATAAAAATATATGATAGGTACCTAGTGTTCTAAACAAAATAATTTCTTTGACATTATTTCATTACTCTCACCATAAATCAATCCAGTACTTGCTTGTAAAAATTAAATGATTCAGTAATGGTTTGAACAGTTACAGACAAGTTTGATAAGGTTTGACAAATTTCTGAGAGACTTGGATGATGAGATAATAAAAATGATAGAGTAAAACAAATCTGTGTCAACTTTTTACATTCTGTAAGCCCAAATAAGTATCTCTTAAAACAGAAGTCTGTTTTTTACACATTGGTTTGGTCTATTACATTTTTAGTAATGAAATTTATTTGTGTTAACAAGATGAATATATAAACAAATACGTTTTTAATAAAACATAATTTTGTTTATATTTGATGATATTTATTTTTCAGTATAGAGATATTGTATGAGTTTTATTGAATTTTTTTTTTTTATTATACCATTACAAGTCATTTTTTTTTTTTTTATATGTTTATTATATAATACAAATTAAATATTTAATAGTATTCTAATATTATTTTTTTAAACATTTATTTTGTTTTTGTTTTTGTTTTTGTTTTTTTTTTTTTTTAATTTAGATTTCAGAATAAAGTATTGCGTGTTGTTCTTACAAGATTTGATGATAATATTTAAAATGATTACTAATTAATAAAACGAAGAAGTGACACACAAGATGTGTAAATGGCATGATCATTTAGATTAATTAATTACATTTACATAGATCATTTTCTAATATTAGAGTTAATATTTCTAATATTAATTTTATTATTCTATAATATTATATTAGAAAAATGTATTATATTTGTATAAGTTGACTGCTTTAATGTCTAATATTTTTTTTTGTACTATTTTATTTAAGTCCTACAAAAAAATTATCAATAATAAATCCTATCATATGAAGAATCTATTTTTCTTCTGATCAAGTACACAACATTTGTAATTAAAATATAAATTTAACTTAAGAAATACATTTTTTATAATATTACTATACACGTTAGATTTAGTTACATAGTTATTACTTCATTTCTATTATACGTTACAAATAAATAAAGGATTTTTAAATTCTTTACTGTATTAGCTTTCATGACCTTATCTGAGCACAGTATTGATCAAATTATTATTTTTAAATTGAATGTGTTTTCCTGTAACAGGTTCCATTCTCTTTAACGATTGTGGTCTAGTATTTAATTTTTTTTTTTTAAAGGATACTTCCTTCTCATAAAAACTTTACAACAGTTAAATAACAATTAGTATAACTACTATTTTGAGCACACCTGCACCGATTGGCCAATATTGAATAAAAATATTTTTTAAAAAATGATTAAGTGTCTCTGTGCCTTTTTTTATAGTTTTGAAGAGTCTGTTTGACTACACTTTAATAATGACATGATAATATTTTGAAAACTGTGGTTAATAGAATCTTAAATAACCCAGAAGCAACCTATAATCTACCCAGTACCCACCCACCAATATTTCCTAATAAGTAGTACACAGGAACTAATATTTAGATATTTTTATACTGAGCATCCGCCTACATTCAAATATTAAAAAAAATAATCGAGAAGCAATCACTTCTCCAAGACTGCATTTCATTCACCGCTATTTAAAAATGTCTTAGTTTCTTCAACACAGTACAAATTAATTTGAAAACAGTGTTTTTAATTAGATAATTATTACTTATTTATAGTGATGCCTACACCATTTTAACCATAATGCATGCAATGTTAAAATGGTTATAAAATTATTTATAGTGATGCCTACAATGGTAACCATTTTAGATTCTGAGTGGGGCAAAGAAGCTTATGATTTTACAAAGATATTTACTTTTTTTTTATATGTGCGCAACTTTTCTACCAGAAGACTTGCTCGGATTTCTACATGTAGCACTTTTTCTAAAAAGAATCTGGCACGGGAAAGTAAATTTTAGATTTTCTCATTAGTTTTCCCAGAAAATGTGAAAAACCGGGATAAACATGAGAATCTGGAAAATGTAAAACAACTGGGAAAATTGGTAATACATTAAACATATATTATTAGAGCAAATATAAAAACCGTATTATTTTACTATTAAATGATATATTTATTGTTGACAATCACTATCAACTGAACTCACCTCAGAATCTAAGCAATGATTTATTGTTATTTATAGGTATACATTAAATTATCTATAACAGTGGCTGCACCTGTACTATTATCCTAGATGTCTTATTTAATTTTAATAGTGTTTTTTACTTAAACAAAATTCAACCTAATAAAATTTGACCCTTTATGTTAACATAACTGTTTTTTTTTTTATCTACATTACCAAGATAACCAATAAATTAACAAAAGTGATTTTATTTTCTTACCAAAAATACCTAAAAGCCATTTTTTGGGGGAGGGTGTAGTAGGGATATTGAAGGACTAAAAGTATATTCTGACATTCAAATTAAACAACGAACCAGTTTGCCCATATCCAATATAATAAAAATTAATAATTGAAATTAAATATATTCAAATAATTGAAATGAGATTTTGAATTCATATACTCCATCACCATAACTTATTTGCATAATATAATACTTAGGTAACTGATTGATTTACTGCAGTAATAAGAAACAGATTTAAGATGATATTTCAAGTCTTTTAATGATATTTACAGTTTTAGATAGAACAGTTGTGCAGTATCTAATGTTGATCCATTCATATGTTGTCCTGCTAAAGTCTCTGTCTATATAGTTTCAATCTGTACATATGGTTCTCATCCTTGGTCTTTTACTAATTATTGAATGTATTTCAGTCTTGGCCTTCCTCTATGATATTTCCTTTCCACGCTTTCTCCTAAAATTAGCTTTAATAGACCACAATTATAAGGTCTATGTATAAATTACTTTTTCACAATAGTTTTCTTTCAAGTACCATTTTATTAGTTATTCTGTCCAATACAGCTTATCTTCAATATTATTCCACTTTTCAGATGCTCTAGACTTTTTCTTTCTTTTGCTTTCTTCCTACATTAATTTGTTATTATCTGATGGTAAATATATTGTGTTTCTTAGATAAATACATTACCACATGGAAACATTAATTTTAAGTCTTATATAATAATTGAAATCATTATATTAATAAGAACATAAGTTATGGTATTTGTGGAATCTTTGTAAGATTCAATATTAGCAGCCAACTTTCCAATTTTCCTATGGCCTATCATACCCTACTTTATGTTTTACTATCTTTTTGTTTTTTATTGTGATTCAAAATAATTAATTAATAATTTTTAAATTTATTTGCATTTTTATTATTGAAACTAGTAGTTTTTAACAAATTATATTTGTAAGACATGTATCAAAGTTAACATTATCAAAATATCCAATTAAATTGATAGTTTAAATTCAGTATTAATTCAATAATTTTGTTATTATCTATTTTCACTAGACTAATAGGTACCCTACCATACCATACCTTATAAAACTAACATAGTATATAATATTTTATTTCGGTTAAATTAGAATCTGAAGAATTATTATTATTAATAATTAGCTGACTATGATTAGGTACAAATCTAAAATTATAGACAAAATGATCAAAAGAGAGTATTAATCAAATTATGTATGCACAAAATAAAAAAGATAGACATACTTTGCATGATGGGTGAGCTACTGTTGTAAGTGAGAAATTGGAAAAGTAGGATATAGAGGGGAATTTAATGTTTAGATCATCTGTATGCAATAATAGATCATTGCTAATGAACAGCAATTTTTAGCAAAGTTGTCTTATACATGTTTTGAAAGGCCATAATTTTTACAATTTTTTCAGAATTTGATATTGAAATTCTTATAAAAAAAATTCTATATTATCCTCAAATTTTAATTTTTTATGCCAAAGTACAGTTTATAGTGAACCTCCTGTTAAATTTTCAAGAATTTCTGTTTGATCCAACGATTAAGTACCAAGTAGGTATAATTTTCATTTAGAAAAATTGTTTACAAATAAAAAAAAAAATTAAAAAATAAACAACATTATAAAACTAATACATTCCTTGCAAAAATAAATTATAATTAGTGACTTATGAAAATAAAATGTAGAATTGAAACACAGTATTAAATAGCAATTTCATCCCACAAACTAAGATATCGAGGATTGAACATCAACTTGACCGGCAGGTTGAGAGTAATGAAGTTAGATTACAGATTAAATTTTATAAAGAGACATTAGAGTTATAACAGATATTCCGAAAAACAGAGTTTTGCCTGTTCAACATCCTGCCAACCATGTCTAGCCGTTGGTACCTTAGAAGGGATTAAGTCAACATATTTTTTCCATGATTTACCCTCAGCGTTGCATGATCATACAATTTTTAAGAATAATTGTACATTTTGCTGTAAAGCTAATACCTTAATTCCTTTCTTTTCAAATTTAATGATTTTAAGGTTAAACATATCACCAATAATCAGTAATTAAGTTCTGAATCGGAACTCATTACTTCAAATAATTGCCTGAAATTATATTAACAGTATGTTTGTGGTCTTGATACGAAATTACATTTCCTTCATACTAACTTTGTATTATTGACCTATAACATTTTCACTTTATTAAACATGGCTAGCTAATGATATTTGGAATGCTAAATCGGAGATCCTATATTACACAATTTTTAGATATAATAAGTTTACAGATACCAGTGATAAATTACGTGGAGGAGGCACTTTAATTTCTATAAAAAATAAATTTCAATCATAATCTCAGTTAATAATTTCAATTTTTCTGGTCGAAAATTCCATTCTCATAGCTAGTATTTATCTAACTCTTAGCTCCGTTAAATATGAAAGTTACATAATGCTTATGGATTATGTATGGCAGGTTAATAATTTTGATCTTAAAATAGTCTGGGTGACTTCAATTTACCTAATGTAAATTGGACCAATAATGATTCTGGCCTTCGATATAGTAGTGGATATATTACTGATAATGTACAAAAAAAAATATATTCCCAACGTCAATAGGTCCATTCTTTACATAGTTTTTTCTAGCAATTGTGCTGCTCAAGTTATTCAATCTCCGATACTCTAACTTCGTTTGATTTATATTACCCTCCGATATCTATAACTTATTTATGTTCTTCATTTATATCCATGCATGATTATCTACATATGTATCCTGTTTTCAAAAGAGCTGATTATATAAATATACTCAAGACCCTAGCATCCGTGAAATAGAATTATTTATATTTGAATGCGGACGAGTCAGTCAATTTATAACAAAAATTACTTTAAGATATCATTTCGAAATGGGTGCTGCGAATATTCAAAAAATCAACATTTTTATCTTGATTATCTGATAGCTTAAAGTTCATAAGTTATAAAAAAATCTAGGTGGTGTTAATCGGTATAATCATTTTTCATCATTGCATGCACATTGTAAACTGGAATCAAAGCGTATATATAGACTTCATTTACATAGCATTCGATTAAAGCTGAGTCATAATACGAAAGTATTTTGAGATAATATTCGCAACCACCAAGGGAGTTCTTCAATTCTTAAAGAAGTTCATATTGATGATTTAATGTCCACTGGCGACCAAGCTACAAATCTGTTTGCTACATATATTCTACTTATTTATCATAAACTATGTACGATCCTTAGCACTCATTAAAATTCACATATTAGTAATGAATTATCGTTTCTTCCATTCATTATTTGTGTTACCACTAATGAAATCCAAACAGTTCTTGTCTCCTTGCAATCAACTCTAGGCTCAGTGCCAGATTTTATCGCTATTGTGATTTTCTTACCTCACAGATCTGTTCCGGAAACTAAGTCAGATCATTCTGATATTAAAAAAATAAATCCAGCTAATGTTATGAACTATCGGCCAATCTCGAGTTTGTTTATTTTAGGTAAACTTGTTGAGCCTATTATGTTAAAACGAATCTAAAAGACTCTTCTTTCAGTAATCACAGTTGATCAACATGGGTTCTTTCCCCAGATGCTTAGCGATAACAAGCGCTATTGATTTTACTTCATGCCTTTATCAATTATTTGAATCACACAAGTTGACATCATTTACACGGATTTCACAAAAGAATTTCACTCGATTGACTACTGTACATTAATTTATACTTTAGGTAGAAATTAATTGAGCCACTCATACGCTGAGTAACCTCATATTTGCTCCATTGTAATCAATTCAATAACCTCTTTGATAAAACATACAAACATTACAAGTTGTCAACTGAAGTTCCATATGGTAGCCATTTAGGTCCCTCACTATTTAACATCCTCATCAATAAAGTATTCTGGTACAAACCATGAACAAATGGTTATGAATTGTCACTATAAGAAAGTGTTTGTTTAACTGTATGCGATTTGTTTATTTGTCTGTAACATCTGAAAATGTCAATACAAAAGCAGTTGGACGAGTATGTATGCAACTCTAACCCGAATTTTCTAAATTTAACAATTAAACTCTTTAGATAAAATAATTGGCATGCAATCTATACTACTCACTCTTTATACCTTAAATAAGTAAGTATACGCTTTTGATTTTTTATAAGATTAATCACATATCCTATGTTAAACATATACTGTAATGTAGTATATTTGTCTATAAATGTTGAAATGCATAACATTAAAATCAAATTTATTATTTAAGAATTATCAGTTATCACAATTAAAGGTTAAATGGAGAGTAAAGAACATAATCAATTTATTATCTAAAAATGTATATACAGTTCATTACCCTACTCTACTGATCCAGTCTAAATTATAAAGTAATTTATGAATCATTTTTGTCAGAAAAATAATTTTTCTCGTTCAATTTATTTTACTAAAAATAATTGACTGGAATGAACACATTTCTAGTACATGCTTCTAACTACATTTCATCATAAATTATTATATTTGAATGTAGTAAAATTCACAACCTAATGCAAGATACTCACCCTAATCTATCCATTATTGTTTGATAGTTATTTTCTTCTTTATGATCCACTTCTGAATTGCCAACTTGCATACCACCATTTATTTATATTCGTCTGACTGAACACTACCATTCATTTCTACTGTGTTTCTATGTTCCTTTGCCTTTAATAGATCATAACATCTTGTGAGTACAACTCTCAAGTCTTTAAAATTATATCTAAATAAAAAAATATATTATAAAAACACAGTAATGTAAAAAGTAAAATTATTTATATAACCCTTCTCCCCCTCGCCTGTTAAAATCGGGTAATACCTGTTAATATGTATATATAATATAAAAAAGATTTAACCAGCTTATAAACTTCCTCTAGTTGGTTAATGAAAAATTAATTACACTTTTTAAAAAGAAGGAAAANCCCCCCCCCCTTGAGTTTTTTCCCCTTACATTTAACTTAATCAATATTATGATTTCTATCTATACTAATACTAATATACTGAATGATACTTTTATCATTTAACACACATTAATTTGCAAAGTACATATTTAAAAAAAAAAAAATGTTTTGTCAGTTTTAAAAATAAGCACAGCTAAAATGTTACATCACATTTTTATTTTGTTGGTTTATTTTTGGAAGTGAAACAATAACTGTGTGGGATATTATACTTTACAGATGATATGATATGAAGGGGAAAACTGTAGAGTACCCGGACTATCTATATATATAGGACTTTTTTGAGAATCAAGTTGGTAGTTCTTTCACCCCCAAAAGTATAGGGGCCAAAAAAGAATGACGATATAACATTTTAGATCAGCTTGTTTCTTAAATATATTTTCAAAACATTTTTTTTCTTTTTTGAAAGTATAATTTGCAAATTATTATGTAATAAATGATAAAAGGATCACTCAGTTTATTATTAATAGTAAAGATATAAATCATAATATTGATTAAGTTGAATATAACTAAAAAATCAGAGAAAAATCAGCTTAAGTTTCACAAGAGACAACCTTAATAATATTAAAACTCTATATTGAGTCAATATAGAGTATCTTCCTCAATCCTCATTAGTTAATAGCTAATCGTTGCGTATAGGTATATACATTTAATTCCCATCTATATCGAACCAACGAACAGTTTCACTATCATGATTACCTAACCTTTGTCATAATTTTATCTATGTTAGTTCTATTGCGATCAGTACGATCTAGTATACAAAGCCGTCGTAAACAGCCCCTTCGAATCTTCAAATTGATTCCATAGTCAATATTTAAAACGCCATTTGTAAAGTCGTATTGGCTTAGTAATTTATATCATACATCGTAGGCGCAGTTAAATATGTGGATGTAACCAGCTGTTAGGTCCGTATAAATCGGAGCCAATCATAAACGAGGTCTGAATCCAAGGACGTTTATAACGTAAATGGATCTTTTTCAGGTTAATTTTTATTTCCATGTTATCATTAGTCATTTCTTAATAACTTCATAATATCTTATCTTTACGGAAATAAGATTTTAATAAGGCAGTTTGTGTTTTTATAGCTTTACCGAACCAAAACTTGAATAATTCCTGATATACCTATTAATTTCATCACGACTGGGATTTGACCGCCGATGTGGATTTTTATTATCACTTGACTTCGTGTAAGTGAACTACGATTATAACACCAAATAATCAACTGGACATGTTAGTATACTTCGTTATCATATTGTAATATAATATCTTTTTTTTTATTTGAGTACTTATTGTATGTTTATTATGGATAAAAAAATAATAAATTTACCAGTTTTTATATACCTATTATTCAATTTAAGATAGATATGCATAGACCATATTCATTATTCAACACTTATTTTTTGAGTCATGATCATGATAGCTATCTCTACCATATAATATGTAATATCTAATATAATATTTAATAATAATGTTAATAACAAGGGGTGAATTGTATATAATAAACAATTGATTAAAAGACAGACTTAGGTACTTCTCCTAATACCCCAAATAAGGAATATTTTTATGTACAGTAGATATTTGCTTTGCATCTTGGACTGTGGCCTACTGAATATAATATATTATATATAAGCATGTAATTTTTCAACCTGTTTCATAATTCAATCTAGGAAAAACCATAGAAAGCATAGTATTTATTGTTAGTGGCATTAGGTTGGATTCTAAATAAATTAACGAATGGTTATTCAGGTAATAGTCATAATGAAGTAACTCCATATTAAATTCAACTCAAAATTCTACAAAAGTACATAATATTACAAATATATATATATATATCTGTTTGGCCAGTAACATAATATATATATTATTATAAGACTATATTAAATGAATATAAATTATTTATTTTTTTTTTGCTTACAGAAATAATAATACACAACAAATTATTACAGCAAACCATTCAACCAAAGTTTCAAATTACATTTAACAAGCAATTATATTAATAATCACACATTATGACTACATCTCAGAGTGCAATTAGACTTGGGTATGTAATATGTTCTTGTATTTTTTTTAATTATTATTTAGTTCAGTGATAGTATTTTTTTTTTAATTTTAATCAAAACTAAGAGAAATCCTCCCAGTCATCCAATAGGTGACCAAGTATAAAATCATAACTAACTACTTTATTTCATCTCAATGTATATATGAAAAAAGTGTCCAAAGAACAACTTAACATATAATTCACAATTAAAATGAAAATTGTTTAAATCGCTTATCACTCATTGCATGAAGTATTTTAAATAACATGGGTCTTTTTATTATGATATATAGATATTTATATTAAATTTGATTTGCTCCATTCAGAAATTATGTGAGAAAAGGTTTTGTTTAAAATAATAGTAATAATATAAGAAATAATGTGTATTTATTTTGTATGGCTAATGATATACTAATAAAATATGTATCACATATCTAGTTATAATTATTAAATAATATCACAAGTTAAAAAGCCAGTCAATGTCACATTCAAAATTAAAATGAAAAATAAAATGTATATTAATATTGTTATAAGTTATAACTTATAATCATAAATTTATGTTTAATAATTTAATCCATTCTATAGCTTCTGGAGTAATATTGTGGATGACAGTAAAGCTCTGAGTTTGTCTTTTTGGATACTCTATCTCTATGTAGTTCATTGTTTGTTTAACTTAGAATTATCTTTATACTTCATTTTACTCAATTTATGTAAAGGATGTCTACATCTCATGCCCTGATGTACAAACACAACACCACTTGTAAATTTAAAATTTAAATTTAAAGTGCTTATTTATTGGAACAAAAAAAATTATTCAAAAGGCAAACTGCCTTTATTATTTTGTAAGAAATTGAAGATATCATCTAACTGTTCTAAATACATATTTAAACATTTAGTAGTACAATATTCTAGGTTTAATTTAATTTTAATTTGTATTTCAGGATCAAAAGAAGGTGTCAAAAAAATGCTGAGGCTGGTGTACTTGTCAAGTTAACTGATGGACATCATACATTACTAAACCAATTCATTCTGGACTGCTTTTATTCCAAAAAGACTGAAAACTTCTGTAGAATACCTGTGAACGCTAAAAAAATTTACGTTACATTTGCAAATATTCAAAGATCAAATAATGTGGAAGAATGTGTAGTGGATCCACCAATACCTGATGATTCCTGTGTAACCATACATTTGTATGATGATAATGGTAGAGTTGTCGGCAAACGTTATTTGGACCACTGTAAATCTTTTGAAGTTCTTCAATTTTCTTTCAGTTTGCCAAAAAGTGCTACAGTAGTGTTTGTTAAATTTGGTAAGAATTTACGGAATAGATCCGATGCACACTTCCCAGATACATCAGAATTTAATTAATTCTAAAATATTATATAATAGTTTGTTATTTATACAAATAATAATAAATAAGCTTTAAGACACTAGTGCAATGGCTTTTAAACTTTTAACACAATTATTAAGGCATGTGTCTGAGCCATGAATAACCTTTTTTTCTTTTTCAGTTATTATTAATTTTTTACATGCCAATAATATTTTCTTCTCTGAAGACCAAATAAGGTGTTATCCAATTATACCCCTTTTTTATTAAATGTAAAACTAAAACTTTTTTGGTAAATAAATAATACGTTTTGTATACAAATTATTAAAGCCATTGCATTTATTATAGACTGTCAAATATTTAACCTACTGTGTAGTGTGCAGATTTATAATAAACATAAATTTGATTGATATATAATATTATATATTACCACTGTATCATAAATTTTCATTAAACCTATATGGCTACACCAATATTTCTAGACATACAGTTTAGTGCACAGAGTAGTTTAAACTTATAATTAAAAAATTATGACAATAGTAAATGCAACAAATAAACAAATGTTTGTCATAAAAATGTCAGCAATTATAAATATTGGTTCTATGCAGTTTTCGTGTAATCTAAATGGTTGTTTTTCTTTGATATTAAAAAATTTACGAATTTTTACATATTATATAATGCGTTATTTCCACCCACCTTTCAATTGGTAATCACGTACAAACTAATTCCTCAATTTTTCATTTGGGACCCATATTTGTTAAAACCAGACACAAACAACACTCAAAAATATTAAAAAGTCATCCAAAGGGACACAATTAAAATTCCACCTGACTTTGAAGTAGTAGGAATATAACGCATTCTAAAATTCTAAAAATTAAGCTACAATACTATGTTTAACTATAAATAAAATCAAATATTTTGCTCTATCTAATGATCCAATGTTAAATAAAATAAAAATCAACCAATATATGCCACTGATAATTTTGAGGTTTTTAGATTAATGTTTTATTTGTGTTAATTAATAATGTTTTTATCATTCCTTTCATGGTTAGGTCTAGTTGTAACAACATTTAAATTTTGTTATAATGATGAATATAAATCTATCAAGATTACATATACCTAATAGATTTATAAGTTGACTAGATATTACATTCCTTTCTAATACAGATTACCATTCTAAGACTATGCTTGTATAACTAAGTTCTCCACTTTTACCATCTTACATAACTATATAAACATCTAGTAAGTCTTAATAAAAACATATATTATTAGTTAATTAAACCAATCTACATTTATTTTTAATATTAAGATCCTATAAACTATTTATACATCAGAGCTATGGTTAAATATATTCAAAGGTCTATTTTTCCTTTACTAGTCATTCCTTACCACATTACATTATGATTTCTTGAAATTAATATATACATTTACTACTAGTATTTATTAATATAGTGACATTTACTGGTGTCTTTACCTTAAATTTATATATTTATATTATATACCTATACGCACATACAATAATGAAAAATAAAATAAAATATACAATAATTTGGTCACTCCAAAATCATTTCTTTTTTTAAATTTGTCTAGAATTTTTTTGGAAGAGAATTTTAACATTTTAAAAATCTAAAATAATTCCTTGCCTACTCAGTTATGTTTTTTTCATAATTTTTGTTGTATGTTAATAAATTAAATTTTGATTTTAAGTTTTCGTTCCCCAGGATTTGGTAAAGAAAACATTAGTAGGTGGTTGTGGTAGTTATAAAAAAAACTAATATTGTTTACATCTGTAATAATTGACTTAAATAATTATATAGAAGATTTTGGTTGAGATATCTCAAGTAATAAACTTCAATCATCTCATTGGGAGAATTAATTTTTTTTTTTAATTGAAAAATACCTTCCTTAAGATAAACTAAAAATTTACTTATATTAAATAGAAGCATAAACTTTATACTATTTTATTATTTACATTTTACTTGTAGTTTAAAATAGTACCAAGGTCCAAAATAATAAATATTGTTAGTGCAAAAGATCAGTTTACTATTTTCAATAACAAATATTTTTACACTAGCTTTTTATTTATTTTTTTTTTTATTTAGGTTGATAATGTGTGATATAGTTATCAGAAATTTATATTGCATATTATTATTAAATAATGTATTGATTATTGGTGTTAAAAATTATGTTCAACCTGATGTTAGTTTATTTATTTTTAGTTATGAACCTATTAGATAATATGTGCTCATACCTGTATCTTCATGTTATAAACATTTTAAAACTGTAATGTTGTATTCTTTAGCTTAAAAAAAAAATGTATCCCTTGCTTCACTCAAAAACTATTTTACTATGTTGGTATTACCAATAAAATTAGTTTACATAATAATATATTTGTATTTTTAGTTTTAATGGATATTGCACATAATACTTTGAATTATATTAATGCATGTTAATTTTTATTTTTTATTATCTTATATTTGAAATTCCCTCATAAATGTATATTATTACTAAATAATGAGCCTTACCCATTTTTTAACTACAAATAAAATTATATTATATTATATTCAGTTTACATTTAAGTATAAAAAAAAAATTTATTTATTGTGGTTTAAAAATGTGTGTTAATGTGTGTTGATGTATAATAAATTAGAATAGTAATTAAATACGTTATATAATCTAATTGTAAATGTATTTAATTCCATAATAATTATTTCATAATAATTTGTTTAAAAAAAAAAAACATATTTGTTTATTGAAAAACAACAAATAAAAATTGACATTTCAATATACCTACATAACTGAAACTACATTTATTCAAAAAATAATTGCCTGAATTTATAGTGTATAATAGAAATATTCTAAGGCCTATTTGAAAATATATATTTCATTAAATACGTTCTTTTTTGATTTGAATTCTAGTCTCCATTGAAACTGCAGCTCTGAATCTAAATTTAATTACAATATAAAAACAACCTTCATAAGACTAATAAAATATTAAATTTAAATTATTTAAAACTTAAACTTGATTAACTGCTTATGTTAAATTTTTAACTGTTAGACATGCATTATTATTTTTAAAAAGTCCTAATTTGTAATCCAACCACTGATTTTTTTGGATTATTATATTATACTTGTACACAATATCAACAATTTATACCCTAATGTCTTAATAATACTACTACAAACACCATAAAACTATTAATTTCTTTCACGTCTCTATACAAAAACAAGCTGTCTTAAGATAATGGAAACGAGTACAGCCACCATTGCCGACGAAAAACGGTTCTGAGATGAGTTCAGTTGACAGTGTTGCTTTGTCGACAATATATATATATATATATATATATATATATCATATTATGGTAAAATAGTTATACAATATTCATTACCTATATATTTTCTTTAATAATATTTGTTTAATATAATAACCCCCCCCCCTCCTCCCATTGGTACAATGGGTTTTTACCATTTATTGGAAAAATTGAGAAAATCAAAAAATGACCTCCCTAAAGTACTATCTAGACAATATTTCCTTTCTGAAATGGTTGCCGCATGCATATATTGGAGCAAAAATTCTAGTAGAGTGTGTGTATATTTTCAAACCGGGTGCCGCGGAACACCAGTATGCAGTGAGCATAGGTGTGCCGCGGTCTTTTGAAATTTCTTTCCCTTTAATTCTGATGGACCACCGGTTACAGTGACCCGCTCGTTAAGTATGAAATCATAACTTTTTTTACTATAATTCGTTTGAGTATGACTCATCAGTTTTGTTCAAAAATTAAGCAATGACAAAAAAAAAAAGGTCAGTGTGTCGCTGGTGAAAACCACTGGTGTACACAGTATAAAAATAAAAAAAAAATTAACATCTTTGTAAAACCATTACATTCATACACTCAGAAGTCAGAATCTAAAAGGTATTCTATATATTATTAATAATTAAATAATTTGATCGTGGGCATATGGGCGTGGCGCTTACCAGTGCGGCTCCAGTGTAGTCATTAATACACATCCGCCATTTATATTTTCTTATCAGTCACCATCTGTAAAAATCATATTGATCTGACATTTCATTTTAATTACTATTAATCTTTATTTCTTTTGTGAGATTCGATGATAATTCTTGTTTTACGTTTCGTGAATTGTTACTATATGTCGATGAATTATTTTGCTTGATTTTGATAATATTGTTTCTTCGAACCAATTAAATAATGCGAGCATAGATGTCTATGACTCAATCTTATAAAAACTAGGTGAATACTTATTTGTGGTTCGTACCGACATTTTTGCTTTTGTAAGTTATATACTTTAACTATGCTTTTATTAAAGCATTTAAAAGATATATTAGCGTATTTTTGTCGATAGAAAATGTATTAAAATAACTTAACGGAAGTGAGAGTGAAAAGTAATGATATCATTGTCATGAAAATAGGTGAGAAGAGTGAAATATAAATAGAGAAAGTAGGCCAAAGAAAATTGTGTGTAGAGGTTATAATAAATTTAGCATAAATAAATACTTAATAATGTAATTTATAATTCAACTTATATCTAATTCACTGATTAGCCCTGTATTGTTTATTTTATAAAGGAAGTACCTATATGTTTGTATTTTTTGTTACAGTTTCACATCAAAGTCAAAAAAAATGTTACTATTCGCTAAGGCATTTATTGTTGTAATTGCTTTCTTAACTACGATAAACTCCAACATTATCATAAATAATAATGATTATACTAAAAGTAATTATCTTAATTTGAAACAGAGTGATGTGCAGGTGCTTTTTGAAGGAAAGATTCCAATGGAGGGTATTAAAGTAAGTATCCAACATCAAGTAATATGACAACAGACCCATAGCCAGAATTTTTTTAAATGATGTTTTAATTTTATACTTAAATACAACTTGTGAAGACTTCATACATCCTCCATGGCATTATAAAGTAACATTAATCAATATTATAATATTCGTTTAACTTTCAAATATTTATGTAAAACAAAATATTCTAATAAAAAAAATAGTCAATAACCATTATCAAGTATTTGATATAGTTTTATATATTATCTATGATCTACATAATAAATAACTATACATTTTATTAGAACCTGAAGCAATTAGTATATAATGTATTTTTGGTTTAAATACTGTTCAAGGGTGAGTATTTTGACACAAAACACCCTCCCTGGTTAGCAGGTACTGTCAGTACTGATGTATACTAATATCAAAATTATTATTTAAATTTGTATCTATTATTATATTTTAAGGGTTCTATTATGAGTGCTATTCCAGAAGAAATCACTTCGCCACCCAAGAATAAAACTATTTTTGACTCAATCAAAAATATAAATTATAATTTTGGTAAAAAAATGCATACCTCAAAAAAAACTAAGTTTCCACTGGCTGTTTTGTGTAATTGCAAATCTAGTTCCAAAAATGTTTGTAAGTAAATCAATTATTTTTATCAACAGTAAATGCCTATGTATTAAAATGTTATATTATTTAAAATCTCCAATTTACCTAATACTATCATCTATGGTTACAATGGTTTTATTATATAAGATTAGTGCCATTTTATGACAATAATATTAGTAACATAGTCATTCAGACAATAATTGTTGCAGGTTCTAATGGCAATGAGTTGAAGATTTTCCTCGATCTTTATAATAGGTAATGATTATAAATAAAAACAGTAAATCATAACTGAAATTTAGTACTTACCCTATTTAAGACCCTTTAATTTTAAATTTGTATTATTAAATACTAATTATTGTATTATTATTTCAGTAGAAATCATGTGAAAGAACCAAGGAAATTGATCGCAAATGTTAAAATGAATTTATTGTTACCATTTACAATAATTATCATACTTTTGAAAGTATATTTCATTGAGCAACTTCGATTCATAGTAATATATCTTTACAAGTTTTATTATTATTTAAATATTTAATATAAACAATCTGCTTGTTAATGACTAATAATAATATAAAATAATCATAAAAAATAAGTCTCGAAACATAAAGATTTTACATAAAGACAATTAATAATAATAAATTAGTTATCTATATGTCAAGTTTTAAGTACACAGTTTCAATAGATAACATTTGTAGAGGTTATTTCAATGCATATTTGCATGTTTTTAGAGCTAACATAGTTATAATAGTTTAAAGTTAAGGGAAGAGTAATCCATTATGTGTCTATTATTAAATGAAAAATTGATGAAATTATCCTACTCCTTCAGTTTAAACTTAAAACTGCAATCTGATATTAGTGAGATGCATATCAAAATGTATAAAAAAAATTCATTATTTGAGTCTGTAACTAAAATAAAAGAAGTAACATTTAAAAAATATGGATATACTTCCAATTTGGATGCAGCTATTGTTAAAGGTGAAGTTTGGTAAGGTAGGATACAGATAGGAATAAGATCTGTAAGCATAGCTAAACCATTACTGTTTTAATAATATGCATATCCATGACAACAATAATTGTTTAAAAAAGATAATTTTTAAATAATAAAAACTTGATAATAACAAAAAATAAATGACTACCTTAATTTTAATCTTTCAATTTTTTTAATCTAAAAAACCAGGTTTCCTCATGATTTTAAATATTAAGGAAAATTTCAAAATATGACCTATTTAAAGTATCAAACAAAAAAAATTTTCTATCAGAAAAAGTGTTCAATAAAAATATATAAACATTGAATCTAAAATCTAAAATACTAATTTCAGGTATATGGGGTAAAAAATTTAAAATGGTTTTAAATTAAAGCTTTAGTGATTGCATAATGATTAAAAAAATCACTTAATGTTCTCTGAAAAAATTGTTACTTTATGATAAAACAATCAACCTGTATGCAACAATTAAGATTAAAATAAAGGGGAAAAATAAATTAACTAGTTGCTATTTAAGAGTTTTAACATTTTGTTTATGTCTGGCCATAAGTTAGAACTAGGAATGGGATTTTAATATAATTAACTGTAAGTGGTTATATATTATATTATTATGAAAAAAAATGTTGGTAATATTATTTTAAATATTTCACTATACAATTTCATGGTTATAAATAAATAAATATATATATATTTGTATATGAATTAATAAACAAATATAAATTTGAATATTATTACTTTTATACTAAATTAAAATCTGTTTTTTATTCACAAACATATAATAGTACAATGGGAAGGAATGAGAAACTATTTATAAATTATTTATGTAACATGTATATACCAATATGAGGTATTTTATATTATTAAGGAATAGGTTTAACTGGAGGCGGAATGAACCTTTGGAACACTGTCTAGCTTTTTATTAGTATTATAGTGAAACCTTTGAATAACAGACACCCTTGGTAACAGGTTACCAAAACTTTGTTAAATATTTGAAAAAGTTTTCTATTCTGAAGGAGTACTAGGTTGAATTGCATATAGTGTTTTTATTTAATATTTTAATGATATAAAAATGTATATATAATAATAAAAAAGATGTATATACTGTTGTAGATGAGAAGTTAGTAAAATGATTACATAATATGCATTATACATGAGAAAATAAAAAATTGACTTCCCCAAAGTACCACCCCAGGAAAGTTTCCTTTCAGAAAAAGTGTTATATTTAATATTTCAGATTAAGATTTCTGGTAGAATTTTTATATAGTACAAAAAAATAAAAAATAAACATCTTTGTAAAACCAATACATTCTTTGTTTTAATCAGAATCTAAAATATATATGTACATACATATTTAAAGGACTCATTGCATTGAAAATATCATTTACTAAAAAAATAGTATTTATGTATACCTTTGATAATGTTTGTTAAAGATTTATTTTGGTTGTTACAATAAAAGCTTTCGGTGGTGGTGGGGGGGGGGTTAAAAAAAAACTTACTAAAAAAATGTACAAAACATCAGCAGTTAAGACATTGATATTTTTGTCATAATAGTCATTACTTGTTGTAATTTTATCTTATCCTTCCATAACAACCTTATTGAATGAATTTGTTATCATTATACTAGTAAGAGCTCCAGTTTCTGTCATTACTTTTAAATTAAGATTAAAGTCTCCTATTTGGAGGTTTTCACATTAAAAATTATTGAAAATATTACCAAAAATTGCTATTGCTGCTATTGGGAGGTGACTATTAGGAGAGATTTCACTTTATATAATTTTGACTAATTTAAAACTGTAATGTTTGTGTGGACTACTCTGGATGATGAATATTCTTTTATCATTTCAAGTCAACATTGTTATTGTTAAATGAAAATATTTTCACACTATTTTATTATGATTATATTATTTTATCTTATACATAACTGTTGTTCAACAACCTATTAATAATATTAATAGTATATTATAATTTTCAGGCCAACTGGATCATGAATTTCTGTGGATTAAGTAATCCTAAATTGCCTGCAACTAATATATTTACAACACAATCGTTTTTCAAAGGTTTTCAATATGAAACATGTGTCATATGTTTAGATGATTATGAAGAAGGAGACCAGTTACAAGTGATGCCATGTTGTCACGGTATATAATATAATAATTATTGTACTTTTCAAATTAATTTTGTTTATATTAGACTTAATTTAATTCTATGTTTACAGCTTACCACAGTGAATGTATTAAATTATGGTTAATGCAAAAACAAGTGGTTTGCCCCATTTGTAAACGTCAAGTTGTTAAATCATTTGAAGATGTGCACTTTGAAGGGCTTTTTGATATTGAGCCCAATTAATTACAGATTGTGCTATTAATCAATGAAATTCAGTAGTATAATAAAAAAAAAAAAGTAGTTTGTCAATAAGTGTATTAATCTGTTTATGATAGTGTTCATGAATGTTACATGAACATTTACGTTAATTAGTTATTCCCAAAAAATTTGGGACTCATAGTTACTTTTAGCTGTTTCAAAAACATCATTATTGATGAAAAATACTATAAATTTAAAAACATAAGTACCTATTTATAATGTTATTAATTTACTATTTTAATATTAATATGAGTTTGTATTTATATTTTATTCATAAAGGTGATGATAATGATTCCCATCAAACCTAACCATAACTAACTTCATTAAATTTATATATTAGTTTTTTTTTTTATTTACTTATGTTATTTGTAGAGTACTATTCAATAGTTAACTCAAATTTGAGTTTTGTTTTATTTATTTGTTATATTTTTAAATTATTAATTATTGGAAAATTTTTGTTCTGAATAATTATCATGTTTGTATTAAAGTATTATTGTCCTGTGTACCTGAAATAGTGATCAATATCTAATAAATACTTATTACCATTTAAAATCATGTATTTTTATTTTATTTTCAATAGTAATCCGTATCTAGAGAGAATAAATATTTCTGTTATAAATTATTAGTTTATAATGCTTATCTATTTGTATTACAATTTTTGTTTTTGATATATCATCATAATAATCATAATTGAAAGCAAGTCCTGCTAATTATCTAGTTTATTTTAAGTTAAATATACAAAAATAAAAGTTAATATTTCACAAAATACAAATTAGTTAACTTAATAAAAAAGTTAATTTGTTTTGTTTTGTTGTTCAATATCATCAATCTTGAAAGTATTCAATATTTTAATATTTTAATATGATTTGCTGTGATAATTAGGAAGTTCTGAATTACACATTATAAACAATTTCAAATTGTTTTGTACTGCATATGCAATATAAATTGAAAATAAAAAATAAAATTTAAAAAAGGATTTTAGGTTTATGACCATCAATCAAAATAACTTAGAAGAATATGATCTATCCACATCTGGTGACAAAAATAAGGTACCAACCCAAAAAAAAGTTAATAAATACTATATATATTGCTATGTAAATAATTTTTCTGAATTAAAATTTTATTGTTATACACATTTAGAATTGATCAAACAAATTTAGAATATAATCTTTGACAAATTTTCACATTGATAATTATGAACTATGCTAAATACAATTAGCTTTAATTTTTCACTAACTTTATATTAAGTTACTAACATTGTAAAACTGTTAATGAAATAGATGTCAATGTATAAATATTATAGTTATAAAAACCATAATATAGTATTAGTAAATTAATACAAATTAAATTTTTTGTATTGGTATAGAGTCCTGTTTTGAAAAATGAAAATAACAGTGATTTGTACAAGTTTTCTTCAAAATTAGTATAATTTTATACAAACATCGGTCCACGGTGGCAAATTAATTTATTTCGATGAGGTGAACCCCTTCCTACTAACATTACATAAATGTAAAATATATATATTTACTTAATGTATACAATAATTATAGTTGTATAAATTAAATTGTTAATTTTATGCAATTTTAATATTTGTTTAATTTTATTTATTTATTTTTGATTTCAAAACATAAACAAAAATTACCAAAATTTTTATAATTATACCTAAATAACATTTTAATAATTTAAAATTATAAAATTACATGTTTTAATTATACCCTTATGCTTGAATTGTAGGCACGATTGAATTTAAATTGGGTTTGATATTTGATACTGTCACTCTTAAATCTGATTTAACATTTTATCTGGAGCGATATTTGTTTTTTAATACCACTAGTTTTGAAAATGCTGTTTCCTATAAATAAGTTGATGCAAAATGAAGTAATCATTTCTGATTAAATTTAAAAATAACCCATATACTGTGTGATTAAATAGAATTTATTATCACAATGGTTAGATAATAGTATGACATATTACGATTTATACAGCCACGATACAGCACAAGAAATATTATGTTATTTAAAATAATATGTATATATAACTTTCATTTAGTGTAAAAATATTAACGACCCCCTGCTAAAATTTCGCGACCCATTTAGGGGTCACGACCCAAAATTGAATACCACTGGTCTACAGCAGTGGTTTTCAACCTGGGAGAATTTGGGTTTTAAATTTGAAACGGGTTTTTCTGAAAACATAATGTTTTGGAGTTATTACTTGGCCTATCTAGTACTGATGATAAAATAGTTTGTTTTAATTAAATATTATTAAATAGTATTAAATATTATAATTAAATACTTTTATATATATCAAATAACTAATGGCTAATAACTAATAACTTAATGGCAATAGTTTAAAAAAGACGTTACAAGATAATGGAGCAGCCACTGTTATAGGTAATTTCATGTATACCTGTAAGCAACTATAAACCATTGTTTACGAAAAAACTATTCTGAGCAATTTAGTTGATAGTGATGTTTTGTCAACAATATATATACCATATTATTGTAAAATAATTAAATGTTCTCTACATATTTTCTGTAATAATATTTGTTTAATGTTTTACTTATCTCTCCAGTTTTCCTACCTTTTCCAGATTTTCCAATGTTTTTCACATTTGTTGAGAAAACTTTGGGAAAAATCGAAAAATAACTATTTCAAGGTACCTCCCCACACCGATTTCCTTTAAGACAAGTTGCTAAACATAAGTTTAGCAACTATTAGAGGAGCAAGTCCTCTGGTAGAAAAGTTGTCCACAGAAAAAAAAATTTCTTTAAATTAAATAATTGTATGTATTCTAGTATTCTACCTTTCAAACTTTTAACTACAGCAGTAAGCCACTTATGAGCAGTATCAGCAGTATTTTTTTAAATTGTATTTGTAATATATTATTTTTCTTAATAAATTATTAAGCAATTGGTGAATAAAACATAACATTGAGTACAATAGATTTTGTTGTTTTGTTTATTTATGAGAAATCACTTTTTTTAGACTTTGAGCATAGTGAGGAATGTATTGGTTTTACAATGATGTTTATTTTTTATTTATGTGAACACTTTCTACCAGAAAGCTTACTCTAATTCTTAAGTATATTCTTTAAGTTAAAAATATGGAAATATTAAAAATAATGTTGTCATTGGTAACTGTTTTTATTAATTTTTTATTATTTTATTAAAATATTCTTTTAAATAACCATTGGTGATATGGAAACTCATATTGTAGAAAAAACAATACTATAAACCAAACTATTTTTAAAATAAAATAAATTTTGATTTCAATACATTCTTTTAACTAATAATCTTTATATTATATTTCTTTATTATTTTATACTCAAGTGTCACTGTCAATTGTTTTTCGTTAGCAATAGTTTATAATTGTTTACAGATATATATTAAATTCTCTTCTGTATCCTACCTTCCCAACTTCACACCTACAACAGTAGCTGTATCCATATACATGCAAAGTATGTCAATCTTTTTTTTATCTTTTATTTTACTTGTTTTGTTGATGTTATAAAAAATGTTTAGATAGAATTGTTTTATGAGTACATGTTTAAATAGATAGAAAATTAATAAACAAGTATACACTCATATTTTATTTATTTTTTGTTATAAGTAATGTTACTATATTCTGGTTATCTATTTTAATTAGAACCTGGAATTATATGCATTTGCATGTTTGTACATAGTATTTACACATTTATGGGTGTTTGAAATACCTATGATTCATATCACACTGAATTCAAATATCAAATATAACTTTTGCATATTTTCTATATTTGGAGGATTATTGAGTAATAGTTCATAAATGCATATAACATGCAAATAATATGCGTTTATTATTGATAAATCAATTTTACTGTAGAAAAAAGTCTTTTTCATTGTTTCTCAGTGAAATATTGTTAAAATATTGTTATATTTGCCACTGTATATGAAATCAGAGCTTTAACCTATGGCTCACAATCATATATGTCTTGGTGTTATCATTTTATGAATTAGTGTCATTCTTGTAGTGATGTGTCATTGTATTTTAAAATCTTGTATGGTAAAAGGAATATAATTTTAGTTTTATATTTTTAAAGTTTATTGTTAGGTTTTTAGATATTTCATTTCAAACAATATAATATACAATAAATTATTACTATGTTTATTACTTTTATTGATGTAAAACTGATGTTTTCTTTAAAATATATTTTATTAAATATAATATAATGCATATAATTTTATATTTAGACACTTTTTGTATTCATATTTGACAATATTTTAATGAATATATTTTTGGGCTCTTATTAGAGTAAACTATAACAATAAATAAAATAAATATATTCTGAAACTTTATTTCTCAAATTCTTTGATATACAATAATTATGTTAATATGTTATTTGTAGTTGGTAGTAGTCTATCCAGGATTTATAAATAAAGGGTTTGGGTGGTTTAGAGGGTCTACAACCTGTTTAACCTTGCCTATAACTAAACAAAAGAAATGCAATAGGGGGGGTATAACACCGCAAAACATTAATTGGTTCTATAATTAAGTAAGTATTAAATTTTAAAGATATTTAATTATATCTATTAAAATAAAATTCAAAAGGCCATTTAATTTGACATCAACTATAGTAATTAGCCACATATGATTAAGTCCATCATGATGTCACTCGTAATCTTCAAAATCTTTTCTTTCAGACTAGGTTCTGAAAAAAATACAATCATATTCTCTAATCCAAGTAACATAAATAATGATAAATTACAAATATTATCTTACTTAGGTTTAAAACAAAAAGGTCATCATGTTGTTTAAACCCTCCAAAAGCTGCAACAATTACAAGCTGTTTCATTTGACAATTTAATGGTTGTGCAGTGGTAATACACAATGGTAGTGTTGGTTTTTTGGGACAAATTGGACTAGCACCACCAGATATAAAAACTTTATTATTGATCACTAAACAAATCTGTCTTCTCCTGGGGGCTGGTGATAAGCCTTTCGGATTAATTTTTTTCCATGTTGATTTCACTGGATCATATCGATGAAAATCATTATAATGCATGCCCAAGTTGCCATTAAAACCACCAAAAATGTATATGAAACCATCATGTGCAACTGTAACCAATGATGAAGAGAATTATGAGTAAACATCACAACATTACTTTTCTTGTCTGTTTATAAATAGTTATTAGGTAGGTAGATACATACAAGCTGAATTGCTGCGTCGACCAACAGGTTTATAGCCATAAATGGTCGGTGATACCCAAGTTCTAGTATTTGTATCAAAATAATACATTTCAGGACAGTATAGTTCTTCCTTTATGCAAAACTGGTCAGATTTTGTAACAGTACGACCCCCATAAATGTACATTTTATTATCAATAACTGTTGCAGTGTGGAACTCTCTGACTGATGGCGGACTTCCCTATGGCAGACAAATTAATGATGAATACCTGCACATAATATTCATACAAATACAAAAGTTAAAATACATTTGTTTTGACTATACTCCATGTCATTGTGCTAAAGTCAAGCATATACAAATCTTGTGTTATGTTCTTTCGGTCTACTGTGTATCCGCCAAATATATACATTTTATTTTGAATTATACATGCAGAATGACCATATTTGGGCATTGGTATAGTTCCATATACTTTTGGTCTTGACCATTCAAGCGTATCTGTAATAAAATATGAAATTATTAGCATTTGATAGAGCTAGTACTCCAAAAAAACAATCACAATCAAAAACCTAACCTAACAGATCAGAAGAATTGTTTTTTTTACATTCTGAACAAAGCATGGAATGTATTGATTTTACAATGTTTATTAAGTTTATTTATTTTTTATGCTGTATAAAAAATTATTCCTAGAAATCTTGCTCCAATCAAAAAACAGCAAGAAACCTTTTTTGTTGCATTTTGACTCTAAATTGCCACATTTAAGAAAATATGCTATATTTGATAATCAGAGTATGCTTTTTGGTAGAAAAAGTATTCACATAAAAAAAAATATAGTAATAAACATCATTGTAAAATCAATACATTCCTCTTTCTGCTCAAAATCTAAAATGTGTAATAAATAACTGTAGTTTTGAAACTGTCAATTTTTAGATTCTAATTGGCCTTACTATGATATGTGTTTTTTTTTCACAATAATTAGGAAAACCATAAATTAAAAACACAAATATACAGCAATAAATCAGGATTTCCTTATTTTAAATTTTTAAATTTTGTTTAGTTAGTAAGTAAAAACATTCTTTTTTTTGATCTTCTATATAATTTTCTTAATAATGGATCATACAATGAGAGGGGGAAGTATGAAAACTAGCTAAGTTTATAAAAATAACAATTTCATTATTTTGAATTTGAATATTAGACTTTTCTGGGTATAGATTTATCTATTTACTTTTTGATCTATTCTTAGGTATTTCTTAATTTTGAGGTTTTTTTTTTTGTAGGTATATGTTGAAAATTTAACATGAGGTTCATTACAAAATGTACTTTTTAAGTGAAAAAAAAATTTAACGTAATATAGTAGTTTTTTTATAAGCATTTTAAAATCAAAAATTGTGGAATTACAAACATGTAAAACAGAACTTGACTTAGATTTATCATTACCTACAGATATAAATTAATTAACTTTATGAATCATACTTTTCCAACTTTTTTTAAATTTGAACATAACTATCTCCCCCCCCTATTATGGTGCTACACATATTATTACACAAGTTACATATATATATATATATATATATATATATATATTTATTTATAAATATTATAAAATAATAGGCAGTCTAGAAGTTTTCTCAAGTAATTTCAAAAGTAAAATAATTTATTTATATACCTAGAGACGTGAGTTAAATAGTAAATGTCTTTAATGTCATTACACTTGTCATTGTATAATTATTATATATTATTTGATGTAATTACAAAACATTTTTTATATAAATTATAACCTTTCAAAGGGCCAAGACTGGAATAACCGATTTTAGTTAGGATATAATTTACTGATTATCTACTAGGTAAATATTAATTATATTAAAGTGTAATTATATTACACTATTATTATTTATTATAATACATGAGTAGAAAAAATAAAATTATCAATAAATTACCAATATTAAAGCAGTACAAAATATTGCATTGCATTTCATGATAACCACCCCACAAATATACTTTAGATCCAAGAGCGACAACTGTGTGGTTATCTCTTTGAGAAGGAATACTCGTAATGTCTTGGTTATATTCGACTTTCGACCATTTCAATTTCACTGGAATTAAAAATAAGTACATATTAAACATATATTAACATAAGATCTTACTCTAAGGTCTTGTACCTACCAAAGCCTTTATCTTGTTTTCAATAATAGTGATTAATAATGATTAGTAAGGATAGTCATAGATAATAAACTTACTTTATTATCTATCTTTATTATATAGTCAATGATAAAGTCCAATTTTTATTTCACATAAGTAAAAATAATTTCATTCACACTAACAGAATAAAATGATAGTCACCCAAACGGGCTATTTATTTTTATTAAAATTGTATGTACAACAATATTGAATTCGGGGAAAAAAATCACTGCAAATAAATCTCCAAAGCAACTATATAGTCAAAATTATATGTATAAAAAAGAAAAAAGAATATAGTTTAATCATCAATAGTTTGAGTGTATACTATGCACACAGCTGTCAAAAATAATAATAGTTAATTAAAAAAAAAATATATAATACCGTATGTAGATCAAACCATAAAACATTTATTTTTTCCTTGTGTGGATTTAATTATATCCATAGTTACACAGTTTGAAATTATTCAACAGGAACTTAAGAAGTACAAAGTAATAGGTATGTAATAACTAATAATGTGTTAATACCAAATATGTGTGTCTAAATAACTTTTATCTAATATATTTTCCTAATCCCACAATTTATCGCTTTAAAAAGTTAATTTTAGATATTTAGCAACTAAAATTAGTTAGACTTCCCTTGACTGAGTAGATAGCATAGTTATGTTCAACAAATTATTTTTTAGAATATTTGCTGTTTTGTTTGTAATCTATGGACTAAAAAATCACACAGATGACAATGATTATACACAAATTTATACATACATGTATAAATAAAATTGAAGTAGTCTGTAAACTTTTTTAAATGCCTTTTATTATTATTGATAGTATAGTAATGTTTGGGAATTTATTTGCAGGGATTTTTTTTCGAATTACCAATGATATTATAATAGATAGACTAAAATATTAAATAAGATAGAATAGCCTAAGCGTCATGGTCCTATACACAACTATTCTGATTTCATGTGCAATAATAGGTACATGTCGCTAGACGCTAGTGCTTTTTTATTTTTCAAACATTCCACATCTAAAATCTCACTGCCCGTCCAACGCCCCCTTAAAACCTAACCAAATCTATCGCCCACATTAGCAACCACTGATATATATATGTATACAATTTAATAGAGAAAAATATTAGTTATAAGTTAAGGGGGGGGGCTCTCTAGGTGCCTATGGAGGTGGGTAGGTATATTGAATTATATGTTAGGTATTGTGGTTTAAAAATGTTCACCACGCCACTAGCGTACCGCGTACATTAATGTATTTCGTACATTTCATATTGGTATTTAGTGTATGATTCTGGTTGTGCTATTGAAAAAAAAAATATATCACCCGTATCTAATTTGTGTACGTCAATTGGTCCAAATTCGACGTAATCATCAGCATCGTCAGCGAAACCACCGAATGTGAAAATGTCTGTGCCAATTGCAACAGCAGCATGCGATACGCGACGAGGGGCACCATGCTTGACCTCCATCCACCATGGCGTCGGCATTGTAATATCATAGATATTACTAAAATGTCGTTTCGATGCTAAAATCAACGACACGAAAAATTAATAAACGATTCAGATTCAAATACTATTCAATTTGACATCAAACTAATTATGATTAAATAGTTACCAACTTTTATACTTATCGACGCAGTTATTTGGTTATTCTTTACTGGTGTGCATTTAGCATGCACGTTTGTTGAATATATTTTCTACACAATACATCCGAATAGCTGTTGGCGTGCTCTCGAGTATCATATTGATCGTACATCTGTCGAGCATGCGTACAAAGAACCGCGCTTGACTGACACGAACAAAGATGCAACATGGTCGTAAAAACGACCACCGCTGCCTACTTTTTGTAAAATTGGTATCACTGACTTCAACAATAAATGGCCGGGAAATACGATTTAAGATAGACCATCTTAAATCTATCTAAAGTCTATCCTTCTATCTTAAGTTTATCTTAAATCGTGCCGGGAAGTGATCGAATCCACTCTCGAATTGCCGAGCATGCGTACGTGTACGTTATAATTAAAATCGTATTATTGTACATTAGATCGGTAATATTTCAGAATTATCTAAAATTAGAATTATACAATATTGTCGTAATCCTGTCTAAAACGTTTCTTCGAATCGCACAATTTTAATTATAAAACGTAAACAAATTAAACTATTTGATTATTTTCTTAGACATTTAGTAAAATGCCTGATTTGACAATATGCCTACGATATACATAATATAAATCTATAATATTATTATTATTATTATTTCTACTACAAAACTGTGAAATTAAAGAGACAACTCATTTTGACTAATAGGATTTTAAATTAAATGGATTGGTTTAAATTAAAACGAGTGAATTATATGGGCTTATTTATTAATAGTTGCTAATAGTAAAACTACCATTTTTTTTGTTTTTTCCTTTTGTGCTAAATTAACCCAACAACAAGTATCAACAAGAATTAAATATCACATTTTCAAAAATGAGAATTTCCAAATGTGGTTTATCATTAGACATTTATATTGAAAAACATGGCTGATCAAATCCATCCAATTTTATGGGTAATTTTGAACAATCCTTTTTTTTTTTTTTAATAGTGGAAAAAGATACTTCTTTCATATTGAGCCTTATTGTTTGAGTTAAAATTCAGTTTTAAGACCATTTCGAACGCTCAAATAGCAATCATTTATTGTCAAATTAGAGTTTAAATAATTATTTTGATAGTAGTTTAAATTATAGCTTTATTACAGATAACCTTACTCTGAAGTCAATAGTAATAAAAATTAACTAAATTAAATTAATTAAATTAATAAACATTTCAAATTGCTTCCCTGAAAATGATCATTAATACCTTTAACATATCAGTAGTCAAGTAAGTCAAGTGTAAGTTAGTATTTTGAAGTTGCGTACAGAATTTTAATGCATTACCTATAGCTTCAAACTTTCATAGCTTTACTTCTTAGTCAGAAATCACTAAATCAGTAAATTACACTGATTCACTGATTATTCAAATAGTTTTTGAAACACATTATTGTTATTTTTATCTAAAAAAAAATTGGAGCAAATAATTTTTGTAATATACATATAATTTTGATAAGATATTTGAAGAATAATTTATTGACAATGAACTTAAGTATAGTTTATGAACTGTACATACCTATTTTAAATTGTATAATTATACGCAGTATGTATTACATTTTCAAACTAATATAATTGCTATAAAATAAAATATATAACAACATATTGTTTAGGATAGTGACAATATTTAAATTGTACATAAAATTAGGTCATTAATATTGTATACATATATATATATAGTAATAGTTTCAAAAAGTTAATAATTGTTTTGGACACAATATTACATTACACCATTACTATTTAATAATCTAAGTACTTATATGTATTTTGTTATAATATTAGTAAATCGTTTAAAAACAAAACTAAGTTGTATTATATTTTTTATTCAATTTTATACAATATAATATAATATTCTTATTAAATTTCATAAATAACATGATTAAAGCAACTCTTAAAATCTTCATAATTTTGAACAATGAAACAATATTAGGTAAATTAGGTAATATATAGGTAACATGATACCCATTAAGTAATTACATATAAATAATCATCCTTGAATAATATTTGTTTTCTTCGAGTATGTATTTTTATCATTATTTTAAGTATAATCAAACATTACCACTACAATAAAATAATATATGTATATATTTATATATAATTATTATTTATTTCTATCAGACATTTATATTTTAAAATACATAAATAAATAATAGATAGGGCAGAAATTGATTACATAAAAGATTAAAATGTGAGAGAGAATATTTTTACATTGATGTAATTTACATTTTTATACAAAATAATAATACAAATATTTTTGTGTACAGTATATTAGGTACTAGTATTATATTTTTTTTGGGGGAGGACATATAATGGCGTGGTTAGAAATCCTTAATATAATTAGTAAAGTAAAAAATTATAATTTGTAAAACTACAGGTGCTTCAGGAAGATTCAACAGATGTAATAACTTTTGTTCTGTTAAATATTTTTAATTTTAGAAACTTTGCACTATGATTCCTCTAAATTACTTTTTAAAACAAATATAAAACATTTGAATTTTTAAAAAGAATTGTTTTTACAAAATCCAAGGTAGCAATTTTATAAATACACAAGTATATTTTGGTGTTCCAAATAATGATGAATAGTGAAGTTACCAACAATTATTAACAAAATTAGTTTTTATGGACAAGTTTTGTTTATGATTTTTGTAAACTTTAAACAATTTTAAAAACATAATTAATTTATCATTAACAAATATTTGTAACACCAACATTTTGTTTCATCATATATATTAATAAAACGACTATCTTAAATTTGTTTAAGTATAATTTTTTAAGTTTAATTTAAAAAAAAATGAATTAAAACCCATGTTATTGAATTTGTGGAATGTTAGTAGGACACTGTATAATATAATTTACTTAAGTTATTATCAATAATATAATATTGTTCCATTTTACAAAACCTTTTAATGTTGTAATATTTATTTATTTCTCAATTACTCCCCCTTTTATTATATTCTTTACTACCACACTTTAATTTGTGTGCCTAAAACTAATATGATTATTAACAATATTATTTAGAATATTTTAACCCAGAACCAAGGTCAAAACCTTTATTCATAAAATTGCATTCAAATTTAAAATAACCTTCTGTAATACTAACCCTAAAGAAAAGATTATTATAATATCTAATAATATCATATTTTAAACCCAATAAATAGTTTTTAAAATAAAATCCATCTTCAAGTATCTATAATTGTACACATAAATATATTATACATAGTATACGTAAGGTTAGTTTAATAAAAATTTGTATTTAATTACATACATAATATATATAAATACAGTGAGTGTAAAAAGTATTCGTACACCCTAATTTTTTAAATAAATATACATTTTTCTTCATGATATTCTATTTTTATCAATAAACTAATACATACATATAATTCATTGACGATTATTAATTATATTAAAAAAAAAAAACCATGGCAAATGTTATATTAATAATAATATTCAATAACAAACAAAACAATACATATAAAATAGGAACAATAAATATTCGTACACTTCTATTTTAAAAATGCGAAAGCTCTATTGGTTAGTTGGACCCCACTCTGAGTTAACTATAGAAAACAAACGTCTACTATATGTAGCTATTATAAAACCAATTTGGACCTATGGTATTCAACTGTGGGGTTGTGCTAGTAAGTCTAATATTGATATAATACAACGTTGCCAAAACATCGCTCTTCGGGCCATCACTGCAGCCTACCTAGGTTTGAAAGAAACGATGACATTCACCACGATATGATGCTGCCTACAACAGCAGAAGAAATCCAAAAGTTTGCTCGTAAACACGAGAGGAGATTAGAGGACCATATCAACCCAATGGCCATCGAACTGTTAGACAACTCCANTTTATATATACAGTGAGTGTAAAAAGTATTCGTACACCCTACTTTTTTAAATAAATATACATTTTTCTTCATGATTTTCTATTTTTATCAATAAATTAATACATGCATATTATTCATTGACGATTTTTAATTATATTAAAAAAAAAAACCATGACAAATGTTATATTAATAATAATATTCAATAACAAACAAAACAATACATATAAAATAGGAACAATAAATATTCGTACACTTCTATTTTAGTTACGGAATCACCTGTTTACTCACAATAATGTTATTAGAAAACTATAAGATATACAAAATGTCACATTATCATCTATCACAAAATGAGTCGAAAAAAAATGCGAGACAAATAAAACTGAACGTGAACTAATTCTGCAATTTTCATAATTAATGCTAATCATTACGTCAAATATCAAAAATTGTCAACAGAGCTCATAGCACTGTGAAAGACGTGATAAATCGATACAGTGAGCGGAAAAGTCACGAAAATAAGCAACGATCTGGTCGTCCATAAAAACTTTCTGACCATGATAAACGTATAGTTTAACGAAAAGTCAAATTGAATCCAAAAATAAGCGCTCCTAAAATAGTACAAGATCTTGGGAATTTTTCTGGAGTCATGTTTGTGTAAGTACAATTAGAAATTGTTTAAAAAATAGTGATTACCATGGACGAGTAGCTTGTCGAAAATATTTTGTAAATAAAAAAAATAGACAAAAGAAATTTGATTTTGCAAAAGATAACTTACATCAATCTGATAACTTTTGGAACAAAGTTATATTTATAGAGGAAAGTAAATTTAATATTTTTGGCTCTGATGGAAGACGTTTTGTTTGGAGAAAAGCAAATACAGAAATGGAACCGAAGAATTTACAGTCTACAGTGAAATACGGAGGAGGTTCTATAATGGTTTGGGGATGTATAAGTGCTCAGGGTGTTGGAAACTTGCACTTTATNGCTAGTGCCGAAAAAATGGGCATCAAAGATGATTTCATATTTACACAGGACAATGATCCCAAACATACTGCAAAAAAGTTAAGGCTTGGTTGTCGAACAATGTAACTGAATATCTTGTGACGCCACCACAGTCTCCATTATTCCTATTGAGATTTTGTGGGATTATTTGGACAGAAAAATTCGAGATCACAATATTTCAAGTAAGGAAATTCTAAAAAAAGCTCTAGAAGAGGAATGGAATAAAATTACAGCAGAAACAATACGTCATCTGGTTGATTCAATGTCTAAGAGGTTGGAGGCTATAATAAGGTCCAAAAGCTACCCTACAAAGTACTAAATAGGGCTATACAATAATTTAAAGGCATAGTTTTTGATACAACTCTTTATTATTATTATTATTTTTTACTATTATATATTTATTGTTTTGTTTGTAATTGAATATTATTATTAATATAACTGTTGTCGTGGTTTTTTTTAAAAAAAATTAATTAAAGATCGTAAAAGAATAATTTGCATGTATTAATTTATCAAGAAAAATAAAATATCATGAAGAAAAATGAATATTTATTTAAAAATGTAGAGTGTACGAATACTTTTTACACTCACTGTATATTGAGATGGATGGACCATATGTCTATATGTATTTATATTTTTAGAAATGATATATTACAAAAACAATGTCTCACTCACTGTGTATATATATATATTTTTTTTTAGTTAACTCAAAGTTAACTTTAAAATTATAATTGATTTAATTTTTATTTAAACTTTGAGAAATATTATACCAGGTATATGTTTAAAAACTATGCTTTAAAATTATGTATTTCTTATTAACAAAATTGTACTTTTTACGACCTTTGTGGTTTGGATATAGTAGTATAATATAATTAATAATTATATTTATTGTCATAACATAAAAAAAAATATAAATAGTAGTAGATTGAAAATTTAAACACACAAAAAAAGTTTTTGTAAATTACAAATAATAGTATAAGTTTATTATAATTAAATGTATACAATAATGCAATAGTTGAATAGTGTAATAATAATTATCAATATTAAATATTATTTTTTTTAGTAATTAATATAAATTTAGGTAGACATAAGAAAGTCAATCAGCTATTATTATAATTATAAATTTTGTACAAGCTTAAGCAATAGAATAATTTTTACTTTTATGATAATTAAACTCAATGCAATTATTTAGATTATTATACAACTGAAAATTTTGAAAATTAAAAAAAATAAAAAAACACACATATTGGTATCTGAAGTTCAATCAAATTAATTGTTAATTAAATTTTAAGATTTTTTTTCATCTATTTCTTATTTTGGGCAAATTATTTATCTATTGTTTTTTTTAATGTTAATAGATCAATATTTTTAATAATAATAAAAGAAAAACCAAAAATAAAATTGAGGGTATGTTACTACTACCTATATAAAATAAGTTTTATATATTATGTAGATAAATCACCTCATACAGAATTTAAGTTTTGATGTATTCTTTAAAAAAGTAAGAATAAAATTCAAAAAAAAAAATATATTAGTCAGGACACCTAAAAATAAGTAGCCTTTTGTAAAATATTATTCAACAAACAAGTGTAATTATTTTAAATATTTTATAGTTAATTCCACAATTGTTATAATATTTTACTTTTTATATTTATTCCCGGATTTTGAATTTTATATTTTACGTAAACATCATAATTAAATTTTGTGGTATGATGATTTTGTTATTTATTGTCTGTTGATTCAGAGACAGATTACTGCTGATAAAATTAAATATTCTATAGCTACTATTTACTTTTTGACTCCTTATAATATCACAAGATATCATTAATTCATGGTCAAGAAGTCTAGTATATTCGATCTTGTAAGCCTGTGGGGGCAAATGCCGATGGGCCTTGTTTCACCATACCAAACTTTTGCTGTTTAACCAAGAATTCGTAATTACTGGTCTGTAATCGAGAGATTGCATTACCTAAACCACCCGGCATAGGCTTTGACCAAAAACAAATATGATCTAAAGCACCATGGGCATCAATTCTTTGATCCGGGTCCAACGTCAATAGTTTATCCAATAGGTCCAGACAGTTTGGATCTTCTACATAGGGTTTTAGACACTCTTTTACCTATTAATAAATAAAATATAAACATTTTTAATGTTCTCTGATATCAACAAAAATTGACCAACCTTCCGTTTCTGTCCAATTGGCAATTCCATAGTATTAAACAAATTCAAATCAGTGACTTTGGGCCATATATCTACCGTGATTGATCCGCACAATTCTGTTATCGCCAATAATTGCGATTGCTCTGAATTTCCTCGCAAAATCGGACACCGAGTCCACATTTCGGCCATAATACATCCAACGCCCCATAAATCTATGGGCGGACCATAAATATTAGCACCAAGGAGCAACTCTGGAGGGCGATACCATAATGTTACTACACGGTTGGTATATCTATAAACATAACAATTTTAATTAGTCCATGTTTAGTTTTAAAAAGTGTTAAATGAGACTACTAAATTTTAAAATCCATTAAAATGTACAATTATAATAATTTTATACTTGTGGTTCCTTTTCACAATCACATCGCTAAATGCTCTTGCTAGACCGAAATCTGCTATTTTCAGTACACCATTTTTCGTTATCAACAAATTTGCAGATTTTATATCGCGGTGTAAAATCTTAAAAAAAAGAAAACATAGTTTACGTATTTACATTGTCACCAATTCATTATAATTATTTATTTGGTCCGAGTAGGTATGTTAAAATGTATTTAGTACTTTATTCAAATGAATGAAGTAGAGACCATTGAGTAACTGTTGAATTACATCCTTAATTTCTGCTAGATTGAATTTCAGATTAGTGTTTGCCAATAAACCAGCCAAATCATGTTCACAGAATTCGAATATCAAATGAAATTCTGTCCGACTTATTTTTCTACTATCTAGATTATCTTGTAAAAATACATAAGCATCAATTGAAAAATATAGGAGAGCTGTTAAGAAGGTTAGGTATTAATGTAACAAATAATAATTACTGGTACTAATAAGCAATAAGTTTACTACATTCTTATGTTCTATTTTTTTCAATAATTTGATTTCTCTTAATGCAGTAATCGGGAACTGAAACAAAAATAAAACTCATTAGTAAAGGAAAGTGAGACAGAGCGGTATTATTAAGTTTAAAGTACTGTAAAATCTATAAAGTTAAAAATGAATTAAATTCAATTGTACAGTTGTATTACAAATATTCCCAATTAAAATATTTAATTGAAGTACTTAAAAATATATTTCACATGTAGGTACATAGAAAAATTTAGATTTTCAAAACTGCAATACATTTTTTTTCATCTAATATGGGTAAAACTGTATTTATTTTATTTTAGGGCCATTAGCTTAACTTGTAGTAAATTTTTGAATACGAAAAATAGTGGTTGTTATCACCCCTTCCCAGATGTACTCTCAAATCCCAATACATATATAAATCAGTACCTGTTATAATGAATATAGTATAGTTAAGTATAGTAAACACTATTTTCTTTTTTTAATTAATGTTCTGCTAAAAAACTTGAATAAAAGGATATAATAAAACATTAACATATATTTTAATAAAACATAATACATAACTTATATTTCATAAACCAAAAAACATCTAAACAAATACTTAATAGTACGTAATAGACAAGGTTAAAATAATAAAACAAAACGTACGAAAATTTAAACAGCAAAAACTTTGAGATAGGTTAAGTACCTATTACAAAAAGAAGTGTATCTAACCTAAAACGCAGTAATAAATGCATAAATCAAATATAATACTGTATAATATTATTATTACGTTAAAAAATGACTTATCCTTGTCGTTACTTATTATATTTAATGAAAAGTGTCATTATTATGTTAAAAATGTATCTATTTATCTATGTAAAATTTAATATGTGATATTGTCATTTGTTATTAATATGTTTTGTAATTTTATTTAAATCAAATAAAATCTAAGTGATTAAAGACTATTCATTACAAATGTTCAAAAAAAGTTTCTAATATCTATTAGAAAAAAAAATGTATTAATCTATTACATATTTTCAAATTCCTTTATAATAATTTGCAACAAAAATTATTTTTCATGTCAAATAAACCTATTTTTAATTAGTAGAGTATATTTCAGATATGTATTGTAGGTATATAAACACAGCCTAATACTATTTTTATACTATTGATTGTAAATTTTAAAAATATTTATTCAAATCCAACAAAAACAGTGACATATTTTCTTGTTTACTGCAATTAATAGGCACACTACCTTCATGCAAATTACCGTAAGTTAAATTACGATCATCTTTATAAAAATTATAGTTAGTAAAGCCAAGTTCCGCATTAAGCCCCTACATTATTATGTAGCCAAGTTTCGTTTAAACAAATTTTATTATAATTAATTATTAATAAAACATTACGTAAAAAAGGAATTTTTACTAAAAGACCACGAACATTTTAATAAAAATATTGATTATAAATATGACTTAGAAGTATTAGAAACACGAGCATTAGGTTGATTTTTCTAGCGATCCTTTTACATACTTAATTGCTCCAAATTGTTTTTCATTAATAATAGTTTATCGTGATTTAAAAACATAATTTAAATAATTTAATCTATCCTACTTTCCCGACAACAGTGGCGCATCCGCCCTCAGTATCAGCCTATTTTTGAGTTACTATACACGACTAATAGTGTCTGTGTAAATATAGATATATCGTTATCAAGAATTTTTTTTAACTTAACTTAATGTTCATAAAACTTAATCATATGGTTTTAATTTTTGTACGAAATTACCCCGCTTTCTCCTATGTAGGTACCTAATACCAAAACACATTAAATAAGTACCTATAATATGAGTATATAAGTATAAATTCGAATAAAACCAATTACCTAAATAAAAAAAAAATGTTTAAATAAATTAAATTAAATAAAAGAGTAAAATTAATTTATTAGCAGCCAGGTAAAATCTAAAAATTTATAAAATTACTCATTACTCTATTTAATATGAATTGCGTGTTATGTTGGAATAATGTTTTTCAACATGTCGTGACTTCTTAAATGAATATTAATTTGTTTAACTACTTCTAAATATAAATTTTATGCATAGCAACCCGATGTTTTGTATTTTTGGCAACCCTAAATAATTAGTGATAATTAATTGGTGATCCCTCAGGTCGAGAAACACTATTGTTATTAACACATATTACTTAGTGTAGATAATGTAGGTATGTATTGATCATTTACACAAAACATTTACTGAATAATTATTTTTATATAAGTAACCTTGATTATATTAAAAATCACGAAAAGAAGTACCATATTAACTTACTCCGTCTTTTTCGTTTTCCATGAGAATTTTTTTCATAGCAACATGTTCCACAGGTTGAGTGAGTTTTTTAATTGCTTTGTATACTTCGCTGAAAATGATTTTAGCATTTAAGTAATTTAATAAACTTTAAAATAATAATACTATACTATAGGTATTTACTATACAATAATTATAATGAGAATTTTTGTTTAAATGTTTAAATTAAATATTTAAATAGTTATTAATGGACAAATATAGTTAAAATGAACGCATGAAAAAAAAACATTTGTTTAAGTAGTGATACACGTTTACTGGAGGAAAACGAAATAATTAGGTAAATTACATGAATGCACAATATGTTACGCCCCATCGGTGAAATTTGCCAATCCATGAAATTACCTTATATGATTTTTTGTTAATTTTGTGTTGTTAGTTGTAGCATTAGGATATATTTGCTTATTATCAAACTTAAAGGTAAGAACATTGTTTATATTAATTATACGTTCCTTTTTTATCGATATTTTAATTTTTAAGCAAGATACAAGATACGATGATTTTTAAATTGTAATATTTAAAATATTCGTAACAAGTTTAACAATTAAAATATCAAAAAAACTAACGCACAAGTATAGATAATGTTCTTAATTTGAGTTTTTAAACAAATACATCCTTATATTAAATCTAATACTACAAAATGATCAAAAAATTTAAATATAACGTTATTCCATAAATTGGGCAATTTCACCGATAGGGTGTAACATATTTAACATATAAATGTGTCTATAATGGCTCTTGATGGTCTTAATCAGTTAATCAGTATTCGATACCTAAAACACTTATTACCTGATACAGTTATACTTAACAAAAATTATTATGAAATCAATGAATGAATGAAATAAATTGATTATGAACTTATTAACACATCAAAATATTTGAAAACTACACCTAATTTTGTTATAATGATTTCTTATAAATTAATTAAAGAAGCGGTAAATACGGTAATACTTAACTACTTATCCGGTATAATCGGGATTATTGACCCCCGTGAAATTTTACCCCTCTTCCAGCGGTAAATTTTCCCTGGTGAAATTTCACTTCCCAGTAAATATTCTCTAGTTGAATCTCTAGTGAGATTTTACCGAGGGTGGGGTAAATGCTTGCTAGTGATAGTTTACCCCCATCCCCCTGAATATTTTACAGGGAGATAAATATTCTCTAGTAAAATTTTTTTGGTTATAATTTCACGATGGTTTTTTTTTTAATAGGTAACTATGTTACATTTATTTATTTACCTCTCAAATTAAACCTTACTATAATTATTATAAGAACCTTTTGACACCTTTATGGAACTTGTAAGCTATATACATAATATTAAGAAAAATAAGTTGAATTAAATAAATTATATAAATAAGTATATAATTATGTTATTAAAAATTTGTTTGTTAACAGTAAATTATTCATAACTGATTGTGTATAAATATATAAATCAAATAAATGATACCTAATGTTTGTGTGGAGAAATAATAAAGTATTAACAAGTTTCATAAAATATATTACTATTTTAAGAATAGTCATCTAGTTATTTACATAAAAATAAAATAAAATAATTATAATTATCCCAATATTATAAACAAAGTAAAGCCCATATTATAGTTATACATGTATATTCAATGAAACAACAGATAATGAAAATTATAAAAAAAAATAATAAGAGAAATTTTACTGTGGGGAGGGATTTTTGCTATTAGTTTTATACCCCTCCCCCCGAATATTTTACAAGGAGGTAAAATTTATCTAGAGATAATTTATCGGGAAGGTAAAAATTTCACTTGGTAAATAATCACGGATACACCGGTATTTATTATGAACAAAATTACAATTCATAGATATTATTTACCCGAATGTTCCTTGGCCGATTTTAGCAATTTTGGTATACGTATCTTCGGACGTTGGCAATAATGGAAATTTAAAGTTTTCTAGGTATTTTGCTTGTTCTACTTTCATCTGCCGACGTTTTTCATCGGTTGGTGGTGGCGATGACGGCGGCCAATTGTCTCCTTCATCGTCTTTGTAGATTTCGATGTCATATGGTTTCCCATTTAAATCAGCCTATAAAAACCAAACATTATCATTAATCTATAAACGATCAACCCCTTAAACTACTTATATGCATAGGTGTGCGTAGGAATTTTTCGCGGGGTATGCAGAATAATTTTAGTAAGGACTCTACTACAATCCAGTAAAATAATTGCCTCTATATTATAATAATTCAAATTTATATTTATAATTTGTATTTGTATACATTGTTGCATTAATAATGAAAAGAAGAATATTATAAATTTAGTATCATTGTTTAAAACTTTTATTTATGGCTTGTATTTGTTTATAACTTAAAAACAATTATTAATTTATATTCTAATTTTACACAGGTATAATTATTTTACACCAAAAACGTTGGTTTTGAAATGAAATACCAGTGTTCATCAAAACACAGTCATGGCAGTACGACGCTTTAACACTTTAGTTACAGACTAACTTTTTGAAACAAACAAAGCTAATGACTGACGGGTTATCAGTTTTTAATATATACACCATTTTTTTTTTTTATTTGTTCCTATATTAGATTTATTATATATATTTTAACTACAATTAATAACTATAATATTTGTAAATAAATTAAAAATTTAAAGAAGACAATTGTTTGCAGGATATACAGCTACCTGTGCTATCAGAGTACTAACCGAATAAAAATTACGAAAAAAATATCGCGAAATTATAAATTGATTTAAAATCAGGAACATGAAACTCAATTTGAGAAAGAAATCCAGGACAGTTTATATTGCCATTTTGTATATAAAAGCTACATCAAAATACTTGCATGGTTTAGCTATATGAACTAATCTAATACGGTTAGCAATACTCACGTTTGGCGTGTTTCTAAAACCATTTGGTACACAGACATATAAATAAAGCATCTTTGCAGTTTTTAAGTTTTTCAACTTGGCCGTGTTGAGAGGGGTTCCACATAATAGACCCAAATTCTATTTAATCGATATTATCAGTGAACTATAGAGTGCGATAAGACAATTCGGGTCATTGAAATCAGAACAATTACTTTTAAGAAAAACAAGTTCTGTTAGGGATTTGCTATGTATTAAGTTTATATGATTATTAAAACTGAAGTCTTGAGAGAAAGTTACTCCTAGTTCGTGACCATGGTTGACTTGTGAGATCTTCTCATTATATATAATGTACTTATAATTATCTGAGTTACAGTGGTAACAGAACGAAATTTAGCTACTGTTGATGAGCGAAACTTCACTTGTAAATGCTTGTGATCGGTGCGGTCGAAAGTTTTATTCAAATTCAGAGTGTCCAGACAAGGATTAGGTTTGTTTTTGTTGTTAAAAAAAATGGACACAGTTCTCGTATATGTAGATTAAATAAGTATGTGAAAAATTTAGAAATTAATAATGCACTTAAAATGACTATTAATAATATTAATTTTGTTGATTTTACCTATTAATGTTTATAATAATAAATTATCAGATTTTTCCATTACAGCCGAGTGAAGTTAAGTTGACTGCTGTAAATGGAAAGTCTATGAAAACCGTGGGTAAAGTTGTTGTTTATATTAGGTTAAAGTATTATTATTTTCATAATCTTCTTTGAGTTATTTCTGATAATAGCCTAAAAAAACCATAATTAATCCACAGTAAAGGAGTCATAATTTTGCCACTAATCAAGTGGAAGTTTTAGTCGTGAATGATCATTCAGTTGAACAATTTTTAAAGTTAATTATCCTAAAGTATTTTCTAATAATGTTGAGCCAATAAAAACGTTTGAGGCTTTTATTGTGTTAAAAAAAAAATGAGGTACCAGTGTTACAATGTGCATGAAAAAATAAGACTAAGAGAACGTCATGAATGATTTTGCGTTCACCATTCAGAAAGGAGTGGATAGTTTTTTAATAACACATACATGCATGCATACATACATACATACGAAATAATTTCAGTGAGTTCAAGTGCACAAAATAATAATCCACTAAATAATTATTGTCGAAATCAGGTAGACTATGAAAATATATACGGGCAGTGAGAGGTATGCCGGCAAAAAACCTTAATTGGCAGTCAAACCGTGATTAGAAGTACCTATTCCGAGAATAGAAATTAATATTGAATATTATTATTATTTACTGAATCTGATTATACGTTATATTATTTTACATTCTGAGTGAAGAAGGCCTCTTTCACATTATATAGTTTTGACCGTACTTACGGCAAAAAACTGGTCGATAAAAATCCGATCGAGAAAATTAATTTGATTTACACGATTTATGCACGTATTTTAAGAAAAATAAATCTTAATTAAACGAGGAGTTATTTAGATGATAGTCTTCACCCAATTAAATATTTAACATATAATGAAGACCTTTGTTTTAGTAGATTTGGCCTAAATTTGAATAATACTACAAATAATAAGAATATAGATGGTACAGAGTTGACGACACGCCGAATCCCAGAAAGAGTGCGAAAGGCCTGACAGGTATCAATCTTAGTTGATTTTATTTAAAAAGAATATAATTGCTCAATAATAATGTTAAATTAGTTTTTAGGTAAAATTATGTTTTAAACTTTCTTTTTATTATTTTTAGTTTAGATTATTGTGAATTGATTATGTACTCTTAATTTCACTTAACAAAAATGGAGGTAATGTTATGTATATAGCAGCCTTTTCATCATACCATATCTTATCATAGCTTAATATGGTATTTTGATTATGTTATTGGTCTATCGTCTGTCGTTACCATGTTATTTTTTTGCGTAATATAATGTATACCTTCTGTGTCTCATAAGTATGTCTATTTTTCAAAATAACCCATCAACAAATACATAACAATAACCTGGCGCAATACAACATGCACCAATAATTAATTGGTCACTACTGTTAAGATTAATCTTTACATAGATTTTTTCTATATCATCAAATGGTATATCAATTCGATTTGTTTAAATTCACTGTTTACACTAATTAAGACTCTCTCACCTCTCTCTGCGTTACTTGTACAAGAATTACGGTTCATTCTAAAAATATTGTAATCGTACATACCAAGTTCAGAGTCCAGTATGTCAGCCTACAACCAATTTTCAGTTTTAAAAACGAGCCATAACCTTAAAAATTAACATTTCTTTTTACTAAATCTAATTTGGTCCTAAGACCACAGACATTTTGATGATATAGAGAAAAATTAAATTTTACAGCATTTTGTGTTTTAACAACGTTTATGGAATACTTATTTACATTTTTTATAATACTACACTTGCAGGATTAAACTAGTTTTTTTCTCCAAAGTGGGAAATCTACTACCAATTTGGATGAACTAATTATTGTTGCCAGATTCCCTCTTTCGCTTCAACTCGGATTTCAAATAATATAGGTAATCACGCTGAACTTGTGTGAGGTTTTCTGCAATCCAAACTTTGCGATAGCGCAGTAGTGTGCCAAAGTAATTTTTTTGATGCGATTGCCTCATGAAATGGATGGGTGCATAGGTGATCAAATATGATGAACGTTGATTAAGATTAACTGGTTTAGAAATCAGAGATGCCATTAATTTTGTGTATTGGACTATTAATATATCTACATATGGATATTATAGCCTATATTATGTAGTCAATTTAGCTAAATATGGTTTTCACGGTAAACAAATAATTTATAGGACATATAGAAATCCATGTTTAGAGTGGGTGGGTTATAATTATTTTGTTTTGTCTCAAATATAAAAAATGTTCAGCATGCCATTATACCAGCGATCAATATTCCTCAGCTTAGTTTTCAATCTAAGTATGGACTTAATATCAGCTATGGTTTTCAGTTCAACCAGAATAGGGCGTGATCTCACACCCAGTTTCCCAATCTTTCTGGAATCTATAATATTCGGTTTTAACGACAAATTGTTGAAGATGTTAATTACTATATTCGATGACTCGTTTTCAATATTAGGAGAAATTTGACAACTTAAATATCAAGATTCTGTTTCTCTTAGAGAGTCTATCTTGAGCCTCATAAATATCATTAAAGCTCACGGGGATATTAGCAGTGAGGCTAGATTCAAGAGAGAGCGAATACGATCCTTGAGAGATCCAAATTATGTATATATTGGGCAGTTAATTATTTGATGATATAATAGATGACTTCGCAGAAAAATAATTACGAAAAGTACTCGATTTGTGAAATTATATATAAATACAATGACTGTAATTAAATTATTAAAATTTATTTTTATTTTAGATTCTGAGGAAAGCGAAGAAGCTTATGGTTTTACAAAGATGTTTATTTTTTTTTCTGTATGCAACTTTCTACCAACAATTTTGCTCGAATTTATAATTTTTCTAAAAGAAATCAGGCTGTGGAGGTAGTTTAAAGAAGTCATTTTTTGATTTTCCCAAGAGTTTTTCCAGCAAATGTGAAAAACCAGAAGAAAACATAGAAAAACCAGGGAATATGGAGAAATCTATATAACAGTCCGAGAATCAGTTCAAAAGTCTATTTTCGTCCTTGGAATCATTTAATACTTATATGAATAGAATTGTTTATATTTAATTTATTTTATCTATGAATCATTTTAATTAATATGATTTATATTGTTGTCAATATTGTACAACTATACACTTATTGTACTTGAGTGTAACGGAGGGCGCGTTATACAACAAAATTATTAAATTAACGAGGTAAAACCGAAAACCACTAACAAGGGACCAGGACGTGTCTTTTCAACGTCAAAATTAAAACGACCAACCAATGGGAGCTGTCTCTTTGCTCGTCGGAACGTATTAATATAGGTGCACCGCCAGCGGAGAGTCACTACTTACTTCCATTCCATTCTTCAATCACTCAACAACTCAACAAATCGAAGAATCAGAAGCCCGAAGCCAAAACCATTTGATTAACGATTACTGACGACGCTACTACACTGAATAAACAACGAACATACCCGACACGAGTTCAGCAAATCTTTCAGCGGTAAATAACGAAAACCGGCAACCTAAGACATTTGTTGTCGTTCACACCGTCTCAAACCAACTCGTGCTTTATAGGATTTGTAAAAGGAACGATTTGAGCGGCAACGGCACCTTAGGTAAAGGCACCGAGCCACGGTACAGACCATCATCATTCTACCGTCAACGAATTAAGCCAGGTCGACAAACCCGGCGCTCCGACCATAGCAGCGTCTACCACCATTTCTCACTAGATGAGAAACCTTTAACAAAACCGCCGTTCTTACGGTGACTAATAGCGGTTCCGGTTCTCGAGCCCCATTTGTGCCATGGCTTCCCCAAGCCCGAGGCCGGATAGGACTACTCGTTACCTATACTTTGTGAATCGTGCACAACGATAGAACTATACATTCTTCCTTATTGTAAATTGTATGGCATACATCCTCAAGCTCGGTACCTCCCACCTTGGTCCACGTCCTCAAGCTAGCCAGACGGCCCGGATAAATAATCTTTCCCAATAAAGATTGATTGATAACTGATAAACCCCACGGTTTGCTTATTTCTACACGAAACGGTAGCCCGGCTATCGGAGCACTGTGTCATGGATCTTATGATCCGTGAAGTTTCAAATAATAATAATAATAATAAAAAAAAATTGTTTAAGAAATTATGAACTCTATCTTTTAATTTTTTTTTTTTACTTCTTTAATTGAAATTGGATCGGAAATAAAATGTATATACTTTACAAATTGGAATCTTTTGATTAAGAATGAATTTAGAGATGATATTAGAAGGTCGGCAAAACCTATTTTCTTAAATGTTTGTATTAAAAGATTATGATCAATTCTATCAAAAGCTTTTTCAAAGTCTGTATATATGACATCAGTCTATTAGAAAAAGAGTTAAGAATGAATTTTTCAATAGATATTAGATTGGTGATTGTGGATTTGTTATTCGGAAACCGTGTTGCTGCA